ATCCTTGAAATTAATTAATTGTTATTACTAAATTTTACACATTTAAAATACGAATACTAATTATAGTCTATAATTCCACAACATTAATATTTAGTGGTAAATGGAAATCAGAATATTTAATGTATAGGGCTTTATTTTATGTATGTACTCATTTATACATATTCGAATAATATAATCCATCTTAGAATCAAAGAATCGTATCAACTATAACAGGATTTTCTTTTTAACGCATATTAACCAATTTGTATTAAATTTGTTTTTTGTTTCTCCTAAAAAAGATGCATGTTTGGTTAATACGTATCTCTGATTTTAACCCAATGATTAAAGATATAAATTTTTAGTTTTTTTTTGTTTTTGTAGTAGATTTTTACGTGCATTATCAAGTAATATTATTAAAATTCAAAATAGTTAATTCAAATGGGTAGATACAACTACTTCAGTAATGTAAGTAGTATATAGATACTTGTATTATCTCACAATATACCTAATTAGTATAATATCGATAGGCACTGTCACACTATTAATTCCGTTTGTAAACTGGTGTTTATGAAATAATCGACTGTGTATAATGTAGTATATTAACATCAATAGTAGATGTATATTATATTTATATAGGCATACGCGGTATTAACAAGTATACTATAGCAAATACTAGTTGTAATATTATGATTCAATAGTATAATAATATGTGAGTCATCTTATTTGTGACTATAATATACGTACTTACTTATGTAAAGGTTTATAATCTTTCGAAGGTAATAATAATTATTATAATATGAAAAATTTTGTTTTCATGTCGAATTTAAATAAATAAAAAAAAATACTGATACTACTGATGAGTGCACCAATGTTGTTGGTACGGAGTTAAAAAGTTATTGTACATAAAGTTATTTAATTTATATTTGTAAAATACGATAAACATTTATTAACGAAAACGATTCTGAGCGAAATTCTTTTAAACATAATTTGAAAGGCCGAAATATTCACGATTTTCATTAAAATTTGATCTTAATATCATTATAAAAAACAATTACTTCAATGCATTTGTTTTGGTTTTTTTTTCACCACTAAAGAGAAAATATAATGAATCTCTTGTTAAATTTTAAATATAATTATTCGGTCAAACAATTATATCCACATTATACCTACCAAATAAAAACTTTATAAAAACCTAGCAAATATAAAATATTTATAATAAATATCCCAAAAATCGACAAAATGTTTTGAAAATATGACCACGTCTAAAAAAGGCAAATAGGTATTAGTTTTCCTATTAATATACGAATATTTTTAACTGAATTGCAACAAAATCAAAATAATAAAACCATTATTTCTGTAATCATTCTAATTCTTTCTAAGTTTTTTGCTGGTTTTACTCTTAAGAAAACTACCCAGAAAATCAATAAACGACATTTTATTCACCAACTAGATTAAAAATGAAACAAAATAGATCTCTAGTAATTTTTCTATTGGAGTAATATTTCTGGTAGAAAACAATAAGCGTAAAACTTTTAAATAATGAAATCGTAACAACGTGAATTTGTCAGTTTTCATTTTACGTCTTCGTCCGGTTTTCCCAATTTATATGAAAACTACTTTAAAAATCAAAAAATGACTGAGTGAGTAAGTGAGTGAGTGAGTGGAGTATTATATTAGACATAGTTTCCCACTATTTTCAATCCGAACCCCCAAAGGTTTTTGGGTTTTTTTGGGGAAACCAATAATAATTAAAACCCCCCCAAAAAAAAAAATACTTAAGTAAACTGTTGTACATTTAAAATAAAGTGATACTGGCTGAAAATGTCGCATCTTTTAAGGTCTGTAAAATCAGAACATTTTATCCGATTGAAAAGCTATAAAAACCATTTTTATAAAAAAAAAAAATTGATAACTCAAAAAAAAAAAACATCTTAGTGCTCTTTTAAAAAAGGTGATAATGAATTTTTACTAGTCTTTCTCTTTCAAAACAAAACGCCCAAATTGGTTTACATTGATAAAGTAAGTATATTTTGAAGTGTCGCTACGGTGGATTTAGTATTATCCCGTTTACTAACCTAATGTAACTAAACAGTACATTGTTAGAGTAACTGAATAAATATAGTAGAGTATTATAACACTATGGTAGAGTACACTACACGCTATTTTACTCTACTTGACCCCCCTCACACACACACACTTACATCACCACCATTTTCACTTTACCCTAATGCTACTCTCTTAAAATATTAGAGTAGAATAAATTGGATGGATAATAGCCTAATACAGTGCCATATTTACGATGGAAGATATATCGCTCCCTTAACTTTTTTTGGTACCTATTATTTATGCTACTAACTATTTTAGATTCTGAGTGGAGCGAAGAATATATTTGTTATGCAATAAAATTTATTTTTTTTGTTTTTATTTTTTTTTTTAATCTGTTAACAACTTTTCTACCAGTAAATATTACAGATTAAAATATAACTATACTATAATGTAGTATATAATTGTAATATATAAACGTACAAAGTAACCAGTACTCAATATAGGTGGGTAGGTAAGTATATATATTAAAAAAAAACTGAAGGGAAAAATAATTATATAAATTTGTTTTAAAAATCGTGATTTTTACTTAACACGCTAACATTAAAATAGCTACGTAGGCGACAGGAACCTTTTTAATGCTAATGAACATGAAACATGATTTTGACTAAAACAAAAAGGGTCATCGGTAGGTATTATATATTGTTATAAAATATATGTACCCACCTAATAAAAAAAAGCGTTTGATTAATTATGTAATAATGTCCATCAAAATTACAATTATGAGAATTTTTCTTTGATATTTTTTTCAGAGATAAATGGGGATTGGATACCGACCGTTTTATAGGAGTCATATATAAACAATTTCTAATTATCAATCATGCAGTCAGGGACCTGTTCACAGGGTGAGAGTATCATATCTCCCCCAATGAACTTTTTTTTTATGCATTCGTTTGAAGTTCCTTGGTAGTTTTGGTTTTCTCGGGAAAAAAAAGGTAGTGCATAATTGGTTTTAATTGGTTTTTTAGTCGTGTTAATTATTATCATACATATAAAATATGTTCAGTAGATACTATAGTAATATTAACTATTTATAGATAATGTATAAATAATATTGAATATTATAAAAAAAAAGGTACCAATGGACCATCATAATATTTCAGTCCATTATACTCCGATATCTATCGCGATCATCATACTGATGATCGCGATCATTAATATAATATATTAATATATTATCAATAGTATTTATAGTTATGCAATTTTTAGCTATGCTATAATGTAACTTATATAATAATATACATGCCTAATTGCTTAAATATTTTTAATAATGTCATATTTTGACTGAAAGTATGCAGCTAAACGATATAGCTAATTTGTGAACTTTAAATTACCAAATGCTGATAAATTGTCTGCAAGTTTATACTTTATATCAGAAAAAAAAATCAATTCTTACTACTTAGTGTACATAATTTTTGTCTTTTACTGTTTAGGCACTTAAAAATGTATATATACTATTGCCAAAATTTAAGTATCCTTTAAATGAAAAAAATTAAAAAGAGGTTTAAAATAATAGTATAAGAAAATGTTTAGTTAAAATGTTTTTAATATATTTAACGACAATGTTTCCAAATTTTTGATTATGTACAATATTTAAATTATTATTTTTTGTATTATACGAATAATCTTTCCACATGTTTATCAATTTATATTTTTCTCGTAATATGCCAAATAAAATAACAAAAATATCGGATACTGCTGATGGGTGTTTCGCTATTGTAAATGAGAAATTGGGCTTAGGAAGGTAAGATACATATCATAGTTATTTAATTTTTGTATGTTATGCAAGCAACAAAATATGATTCTGGGCGAAATCAGGTTATATTATATGTTTGAAAAGTTGAGATATCGGGGAAGTAATATTAAGGCTTTTTTTCTGACGTGCAAGGTTTTAAGCAAGCCATTTTGAATTTTCGACAGGCAATATAATACCTATGTGCATTATCTTGTTTTTAATTTTTTCCATTCAGCATAGCTGTATGGACTGCATTAACATAAATAACTAGTAAAAAGCAATGTAAAAATAAAACATAATAGCAGTAACATACTTAGCATAACATACATAACATACTTTAGTGGTGAAAACCAATAAGTAATGCATACAAAGCTTCAAAAATACAAAAAAAGAAATAAAAAGCACATGATATGATATTTATAATATTTGTACCTACAAACAAAACGTTCACAAAAAAAAAATGGCATTAAATAACTAAATAATTAATACCTAAGAGTGATTTTTAAGTTTAGCATATACATCTATCTGTGATTTACAATGATAAAAAAGGATTGTAGATATGTCTATCAATAATCAATAATTAATTGAGGCTTAACTTCAACACTAAACAATTGAAATAATAATTATTTTCCTGTCTACTGAGGTTTAACTCACCAGACTCAATTTGAAATTTAAGTTCAACCAGTTTCAAATTTAAATTATCAGTCATGCACTTTTCAATAAAATAAATTTTGAATTACATGTTATTTATTGGCTATTTCTTTATTATAACAATTATGTTACAAATTTACAACTAAATTAATAATAATGTTATCTGTCAATAATAATATATCTTCTTGAGAACCATATTTAAGTACTAGTAACTATATTGAAGGACATAACAGGGGTATAAGGTGTTCTAAACGTATGTTTTGAAGCCCAATCAAATTTGTCTAGCATAATGGAAAAGTAAATAGTAAAACAATCTTATTAATTGATACTAGTAGTTCCTTTATTTTTATTTAAGGAGAATGTATTGTAAAATATCACTATTTATGGTTGTAAATATATAATATTTAATTGTCCTAGAAATAAAATTTAGCATAATACTTAGAGTTATAGGAATGAAGATTAGTTCCTGAAAAAAAGTGAACAACAATTTAGGTAAAACCAGCTTTAATTAATTGTTTTATAATTAAAACTGCATCAGTATACATATGACTTTAAATTTAAGTAAGCAATATAACTACAATCTACATAGGTATATAATAAAAAGGCAAATTTCAGGTTAATATAACATTAATTGAATAATTTTGCTAAGTATAAATAAAACCCAATGGTAACGATTCAAAACAATAAAGTTCATTAAAAATAATAATAAAATAAAATTTAACAAAAGGTTTAATAACAATAATAATAATAATATTAAAAATCAGAATCATACATTTTTTTTTTCTTATTGTACCTATAATTTTTTTTATAAAATAATCCCATATCCATTTCCTAATGAATTAAAAATTTTAAATGTGGATTTTTTTGGCATCTAACTAAAAGCTAAACAAAAATATATATTTATACAAATTAATATATACCCCTTAATTACAAGCTAAATTAGTTTAAAATTTATGAAAATTAATTATTAGTATAGGTTCCTAGTATATGTTTAAAAAAGTAATTTTTTATAATAATATATTCTCTGCAGAAAAAAATAACATTTGTCTCTGAAACTAAACCATGTTTAGAATAAAATCAAAAACATATATACTACAATTACAAATTTTCAAATGGACATATACATATAAGATATCACATTTGTTGTGTAGAAATAAAATAAGTAAAATTCTAAAAAAAAATATTAACATATAGTGTTATTGTAAACTCTTTCTGTACAGTAGTCCGTAACTATGAATAAATACATACAAAAACATTATAATAAAATAATTGGTTAACATTTTGTTTTAAAATATTTATTTAATATCACTGATATTGATTGTGCATCATAATATACCATAATTATTCAATGATATATAATGAATACAATAATTAAATGATGTTTAAACCAAAATTCTCAGTGCACAATACACCAAAGATATTACTAAGTTTATTTTTAACCTATTTAAAAATACAGCAATTTATTGTCAAGTTATTTATACAATTAATGTATTTTTATGCTCTAAATAATTAAAAGATAAATAATTTTAGTCAAAATAATTAAATACATTAAAAACTAAAAAAAAAAAAACTATTTTATAATTTATAATATAATATATTAGGTACTAATTATATATAACAAAATCTAATAAATATTACTTATTAATTATTTATTGTCTCAATTGCTAACCCTGAAGAAATTTCAAAAAAATCGTACATTTTTTTATTGTATTACACAAATAACTTATAAAAATAATTATTATTTTCAAACTGTTGTAATAGTTTTATTACATTATTGAATAATTAATTGGTATTATAAATTTAAATTTTAAATCAATACAAATGGTTAATTACATTAGTGGTTGTTGTTTATACAAATTGAATTATAAGAATACACTAAATTAGTCTAAAATTATTAAGTACAATTGAAAAAAAATAGTATCCCAAAAATATAACAAGATCATACAAATACATAAGTATAATTAATATTTATATTAAAAACCTTCAGACCTCTCATTTAAAAACAAAATTATGTTTATTATAATTATTTTTATATATTTAAATGTATTAGATAAGTTAAGTATTATTAAAACAAATTACTTGTTATTATATGAGTAAGTTGTACAACAAAAAAAATTTCTGTTTGACTTTTAAATAATAAATTATTATCAATACTGTAACCATTACTTTTTTTCATATTAAAAATATAATATATATTTATATATAACTGAAAAATTATCATAAAAAAATTTGTGAATAATACTAACAAATGTAGGTACCTAAATATAAAATAATATTTAAATTTAATTAACATATTAATATTCTATACATTCTAATGGAAGAACTAATTACATGTAAACAAAATAATAAAAAAAATTAGTAATAATAATATGGATATTGTATACTCTTATTTATTAGTTTTAAATATTTTAAATAATATTTTTTTCACATAAATATAACATGCATTTCAATAGTTAGTATATTTTAGTATAAGAAAGTGTAACTAAATTGTCTGTAGTTAAATAATTATTTAATCAAATAATTACTTTGAAATTTAAAACCCATTTTGGGATTAACTTTTGTATCATATAAATCAATCAAATATGGATAAATAAATTTCTATTAACATTAATTCAGTTTTATGCTTTATGCTTTAAACTTTATTGCAAAGACATTAGTTGGTTAGTTCAATGAATCCAGAATGGAAAATTTAAGTAAATAAATAAATATACAGAAACATTTGAAATTTTGGAAGACTTTATAAAATATATGTTATTACTAATATGGTAAATTCTTATTAAAATTAAAGTATCTTTTTAATTAAATGTTTGTATCAAGGTTTAAATGGTTTCCTTGAGAGCCACATACATTTATTTCTGTTATACTTTCAAATAGTATTGTCATCATTGTTACATTAATATTATATTTTGGTCTAAAATGACCTAAATTCAAAAATATATATATATATATATCTTTTAACATTGTAAATTGTAAATTTAACAAAGTAAAATTTAGTAACTATTATTATTATTTCATCAACATAATATAAAATTTTAACTCTAAGATCTTTATAAATATAAATGTTATTATCAAAAATATATCTTGAGGGTTTTAACCACATACATATTAAACTAAAAATTATACATTATAATTTTATAAAACCAACTAATTGCTCTATAAAACTTAACTTAGTATAAATAATAAATTGTCATAATAAAAAAAAAAATTTGAAATTGTTAACACAGTTTTGTAGTTCAAACAAAATAATACAATAATAATAATAATAATAATAAAATTTACTATATATTATGAAAATAAATTTTTATTTTTGTATTTTTAGTAAACATAAAAAATATTTTATTAACTTGTAAAATGTATAACTAATTTATTTTGTATTGGTTGTTTTTGTAATTTAAAAAAAAATTAACTGATTATAATTATCTTATTTTCGGAGATTTAAATTATACTGTAGGTAGACTACATATATTTTAATGCAAAAGGATATAACAAAAATAATATAGTAATTTATACATTTATATCTGTACCTTTCAATTTTAAAATTTGTGGTATAATAGTATCAATTTGAAAACTACCCAAAAGACTAGAGAAAAAGATTTCTTCTATAATATTTGGCTGTAATGATCGTAAAGTTGGAAGTCTTAACAATAATATAACTATACGATGTTCATCTGTACATTCTTTAATTAAATGATGTTTTAATTCTTTTATAGCTTTGTCTTGAAGTTTGTAAAGCTGTTGTCTTTCTGAAGGATTATCTATTGTCAAAAATAAATAAAAAATTATTGAAAGTTCTTTTTTTGAAAATTAATTTGTTCTCATATAAATCTTACCAGTGTTAAATAACGATATTAGTTTTAAGTATGCATATTCAAATTGGTTCACTTTAATATTTTCCATTTCAATTATATAATCTTGTATTATATTCAGGTAATTAATTAGCTAAACATAAATGTTATCAATACAAGTAAAAATAATTTTAATTCTAAAGTTATGATTTTACCATTCAGACAAACAAACATTTAATTGAATCTCAAATATTATTAACAAATTTAAATCTGATTGCTTTGATAAAAAATAACAATCTCTTAATGCAAAAAAGGTTCACTATGGAAAACAACAAAATCTAATTAAATATAAAAGAACAACTCCCACTTCTTAATAGCCCCAATAGAATCTGGCTTTTTTACTAAAACAAAGCAAATCTTTTAGAGAATATTCAATGTATTTACACTGAATCCCAATATTACACCTAACCCTAAAACCTAAAACACAATTCCTCATTATCTCGACAGTTCCCTTACTATATTTCACTTTCTACAAAACCAACATCATCAAATGAATACAATTCTTAATAATAAAAAAAAAAAAAAACTAAAAGAAGGCAAATCGCCAAATTATGATCTAATATCAAACAAAATACTACAGAAATTACCAAAAAATTAACTTGATCTAATCACTTACATTTTCTACTTTTGTACTATCAACTAGTTTGGAAACTTTTAAGAATTATACTTATTCAAAAACCAGACAAACCAAAAGCTGAGTAAACTTAGTTCTCACAAACCAGTCTTCAGCCAATTTTGAACAAGTTATTTCAAGTAGTTATTTTCAATAAAATAACACCCACAAGGCCGCAGCCGGGGGGGGGGGGTTGTTCAGCCTCTTCCCTAAAATTTTTCTTAAAATAAAATTGAATGATTTTAAAGGGGGGAGTGTAGTTATCACCAAGAAACCAGGAAAATAACTAATACAAATTTTGAAAAAGTAATGATGATTAAACGTAACAAAATGTAAATGTTTTTCATGTTTATCAGTATATAATTAAAAATATAATAAAGAAAAGTAATAATAAATTAATGTATCTATGGCTTTAGAATGTAAAAAAAATACATAAATAAATTGTATTTTGAGCAAAAAAAATGATAAAAAATGATATTCTCAAAGTATTCAAATAATTTTTTGAATATTCAAGAATGTATTCTAATTATATTTTTTGAAAATTATTCAAATACTTATTCTGAATATCTTTTAAACCATTTATTTGAATACAAAATAAAAATATTCTGTACAAGACTGCCTATTGATACCAGGACTACGCTACTGGTCACTAATATGACTTGTAATTTAGTTTATCACTATTATGCAGGCTTCTTAACATTGCCCAGTAAAACACTATGAGAAGTATATTTTAGATTTTAATTTCTGAAGGCAGCAAAGAGCTTATGGTTTTACAAAGATTTTTTTTTCATCTGTGCCAACTTTTCTACCAGAAGACTTGCTCAGATCTTTAAGAATAGCACTTTTTCTGAAAGGAAACTGGTGTCGGGAGGTACTTTAAAGAGGTAATTTTATAATTTTCTCAGGAGTTTTCTCATCAAATTTGAAAAACCTAAATAAAAGGGAATATGTACGAAATATATTACTATAATATTACAATTATTTTTTACTGTGCACAACTTTTCTACCAACAATTTAGTTCTAACTTATAATAATAGCAAAGTTTCTAAAGGAAATTTTAATAGGGAAATACTTTAGAGAAGTGATTTTTTTTAATTTTTCCAAAAGTTTCCTCAGAAAATCCGAAAAACTTTGATAAAATTTACGAACCTGGAAAACATAGAAAAACTGGGAAAATCAATCAGTACAATGTTATTAAAACAATGTTGTTAAAACAAATATTATTGAAGAAAATATATAAAGCCTATTTAATTATTTTACTATAAAATTTACTATATATTGTTGACAAAACATCACTATCAACTGAATCATCTCGAAGATTAATGAGAATTTCAAAAAATGACACCTCTTAAGTACCACCCAGAGAACATTTCCTTTCAGAAAAGGTGCTATAATTGATAATCGTAGTATGTTTTCTGGTTAAGTGTTCAAATAAAAAAATAATAATAAACATCATTGTAAAACTAATACATTCCTCGATCCACTCAGAATCTAAAATATATACAGCTTAATTCCTAATAGTGTATTCTGGATAACATTAGGCCACCTCACTACTATGACGCAATTTACCTACTGTATAAAAATATTGAAAACACAATTCATCTAACACTTAATTTTAATTTAGGACTAGGGCATTATATTATAGTATGAAAATCAATTTTTCTAAAACTGACTCTGAATGTAAAATCTTGGTGCTATTAAATTGTATAAAAGTACCTCTTTAGCTTTAGTGGATATAATAATTTCTTCGCTTTGTAAATGAGAAATCATTGAACTAAGAACTGGAATCAATGATAATACTTGAGCACATTGTGTTAAGCCCAAGATGAATAATTGAGACCAAGAATTTTTTAACAAACTCAATTGTATTTCAAACCTAAAGTATTTATTTACATAATGTTAATGTGTATAATATATTAGTAATAATTAGAGCCTGGAATTATATGCATTTTCATTTGTTTATACATAGCGTGTGTATGTCAATGTGGTTTTGAAATAACTACAATTCATATCATACCAAACTCAAATACCAAATTTAACTTTGCATGTAAGAAATATTTATGATTGATAAATCAATTTTACTATAGAAAAAAATAGTTGACATTGTTTCTCAGAGGAATTTTATTAAAACATTGCTATGTTTGCCACAGTGTATGAAATCAGAGCTCTGACCTATGACTCACAATCACATATGTCTTAGTGTTATTATTTTATGACTTTGTTTTTCATTCTTGTGGTGTGTTATATAGGTATATTTTAAAATCTTGTGAGGTAAAAAGCATGTGATTTTAGTTTTATTATTTTGAAAGTTTATTGTTAGGTTTTTAGATATGTTATTATAAATAATATAATAAATAATAAATTATTACAAGTTTATTACCATTCTTGGTGTAAAAATGGTGTTTTATTTTTTTTAAACATATTTTATTAAGTATAATATAATGCATATAATTGCTTATTTAGCCACTTTTTCTATGCATATTTGCATCATATTTGACAATTTTTAAATACATATAATTCCAGGCTCTAGTAATAATAAATTCTTACGATAATAGCTGAAATACTGGAAGGTTTTGAACCCAATTTATAGACAAGAACAATAATCTTGAAGCACTTTCGCATATGAAATGAAGATTTAAGTAAGCATATTTTGGAGCAGGTGATTGAAATGGAAAGTTTACATTATCTGCTGGCATTACATCCTCATTAATATCTAAAACTTTGTAACTAGGCATTTCATTTTCATACAACGAATCTGTACCATTTGAATTTTGCTAAATCAATAAAGTAATTATATGTATAATTTAATATATATTTTGGTTTCTAATGTACTTTTAATAGGAAAACTAAGGACTCTATAATTAATAGTACCTGTAATTTGTAGCTGTATTTCCACCATAATTGATTTTAAATCAAAAAATACAAATTTAAATTTAAAAGAAATTTTTTTTTACAAATATTTAAAATCAAAAAAAAGATTATTAATTTGTATAAAAGAAAATCCTTGAATAAATCAAGAATACATAACTGAAAAAAAGAAAGCATGAAGTAATGTGTGGAAAATAAAATATTTTTGAGACCATTAAAAAAGGCATATCAAGTCAACTACTATGAATTGTCCTGAAACAGAAACCATCAGAAAAAGACCTTTGGGAAAGCTGATAATGGTATGGAAAGTCAGAAAATATATGGAAGTTTGGAGAAAGAAAATTGTAACATTTTGCCAATTGATAAAAATGACTAGAGGATCCTAAAATAAATACTAAATTATTAATTTATATACTTAATTTTAAAACTAAAAATAGCTGATTAAGGTTAAGTTATCCTATTTTTAATTTGATATTAATGAATGCTTTACCTAATACACTAATATTTTGGACCAACTAAAATCCGCTATAATGGAAATACCTACTACAAAGTTCTATTTTCTAAATTACTTTTTGGAGAAAAAGTTGTCATTTGGTGTCCAAGTAGATAGTAATAGGTTTGTCTATTTTAAAAAAAGTGTACATATTTTTACTACAAATGTACCCCAAATCATTCATTATAATAAAGTATGTTTTAAATAAATTGTGTTTGTTCAACACTCTTTCTATGCTATTTGGGTTTAATTGTGTTACAATTGTGTTAAATGTTTAAAAAAAACCTAACTATTAATAAATAGATATTAATGTTACTTGTGTTATATTGACCATAGAATCCAAAGCAAGTATCAAAATATTTTTATTATCATGACTGAATTGTTTAATATCATTTTCATTATTCGGAGAAAGACTGGTTGATGATTCTTCATCTTCACCAATATAATAATCCATGTAATTCTGATTTCTGAGTGAAGAATCATTTTCACCTATTAAAAATATATAAAGTAATTAAAAAACAAAAAATGAATTTTGAAATCAAATTTTGATTAATTTTTCAAGTTTATTTTTACTTGGAGGTTTTAATAAATGCATTCCAGTTTGATCAGTAAATATGTTACGCTGTCCTATATATGGCATTTCAGTTTTAATGTAATGCAAATCATTTTTAATAAATGGCATTTCAGTTTTAATAAACGAATTATTTCCATATGTAAATGATGGTGTGTTATTATTGTCTGGGCTAGAAGACATATGAATAGATTCAATTCTATCTGAAACTGGTTTTCTTTCATGTTGTACAGCTAATAAGAAAAAAAAATCATTATACTAAGATTTTATTTTTATTATAATTTTGATTATTTAACGTATTTTAGAGGTTAGATTTAAAATTATCTAGCTAGTCTCTAAAAAATGTAATAAGTTATTACATTTTTAGGGCTCAGGACTTTATGCACTTAAAATCCACAGAAAACTGCTTAAAAATGTCAAAAGAGCTCTGCAAAAAAAAGCAAAAATAACAGAGGTTTAAAATGTCCACCCCTAACCTCTCTAACTATTAAATGCAATTATCTAAAATAAAATTTTTTTTTTATACAACACTTACAATATTATTTAAAAACATGTGTTAATAATTTTTGCAGTGTTTGAAAATTTTATTTTATAAGTTGATGCCATTAGAGGAGATTTTTAAAAATTTACTACCATTTTGTTGTTTTTTTAAGTGCACTATTAAGCTTTTAAGACATTTTTTATCACTTTTTTGTGGATTTAAAGTATATAAAGCTGAGCCTAATAACCTAGAAAATACATTAAAATACTTAAATTTATAAATGAAATTTTATACACAAAATAATTCTTTTATTATAAATTATTATTGTGTTCAAATTATTAAATTAACAACAAATACATTATTATAGTTTTAAATGTTTAAAATACAAATTTAATTTAAATTATTACAATCACTTCGCATCCCCATAGACAGACATTTTTGAAGACGGCAATACTGACAACGGTTACGGTGGTTTTTAGTTACTTCACACATTTTAGTACCCCTACATTGATAACCGAGTTGTTTTCGAATAGACCGTTTGAAAAATCCTTTGCAACCTTCACAGCTGATTGCACCGTAATGTCGTCCTAAAATTTTTAATATTTTTGTAAGTATTGGTACAAAATCTTATCAAATATAATTATAAAAGGGCCATAATCATATAATTAATATTTGTGTGTTTATGTTTATTCCGATTACCATTAATATTGGCTATAGTACCTACTATATAGCTATAAGAATAACAACATAATTCGGATTTCATTTTGATAAACACTTAAAAATGAAATCCATTATAAGAAATTTAAAATTTAAACTATAATCAATAAAGTATTTACCTAGGTACAAAACATTTAAAAAAAGGTATTATTTGTTTTAGTAAATTTAAGTTCAAAGATTGTATTTTTACCATTCAACATTGTAAATAATTAAAAATAAATCTAACATTAAAAAAGTAATAATTTTAACTATAATAGTTTTGGTGCCTAATTTAATTTTAAAATACTAACCTGATGCTCTATCGCCACAAACTACACAAGTTTCCACCGGTAAACAGAAAGAATGCATTTTATCGTTACCAATTATTTCATCAATATTCATCGTCAAATACTGAACTCATATATGAGACAACTTATTTTTTTTAAAGTTGTCAATAAATGTAAATAACTGTAAAAAGTACAATAAATTCCATTTGTCATTGTTCATCAACCAGCTAAACCTACATAAAATTTTTTTTTAATTACAATATTATTTAAATAGGCAGGTAGCATAGGTGTGCATAGGCCTCTTTTTCAGGGTATGCAGAAGACTGCCACTAGCGCCTCTGAATATTATTTTAAGATCGTAAAACTCTGATAAAAAAATATACACAAATATTGAAATGTCTGACCAACTGTTTAACTAAAAATGTAATTTTCACTTAAAATTCAAATTGAATTACAACATAAAATAAACGTATTTTGCAAATATTAGTTTTAACTAATAATATGGTTTTTGAAGACTTTGGGGATGTAGCCGTCTATTTCCCCCCCTTAATCCGGCCCTATGGCAAGTAGGTATACAAAGTGTTCAAAATGAACAATATTTGATGTTTGATATTATTTTTAATGCAAAATACAATTTAGAAAACACATTGAATAATACTTAATTAGGTAGGTTTAAAAATGATTATTGTTTTATAATTATGTTGATAATTTTTAAAAAAGAAATTATTTTTAATTAAAGCAATTATCTTAAATAAAATTCTAAAAACGATAAAATAGGTTTATCAAACACTTAAGATAAATATTTAAAAGTGAAAACACAGAGAAATCTTAACACCTAGTTAAGTGAACTGTTGTTAGAACGAACGTCCTGGTCTGTAATGTATCATTGTACATATTAATTTGGCTTTAGAACAAAAAACAAAAGGGCTATGACGATTAACCACTGGACTAACTAAACAAAAGTATATTATTTTGTTGTCACGTACCTCGGAAACAACGGTATTTTCGGATGAACGCCATTAGAACAAAGAATTTACATGATGTGAAACACTCATCAATATTAATGTAAATAAACATACAGTGGTCTACCTTAATTACTGGAAACAAATCATAACATCGTCATTTAGAGTACAGGTGATAGTCAGAATACGCACATTTTTTGTAAAAATAATAGGAAATTAAAAAAAAACTTGGAATTTTCTCCAAAATGGAAAAGTTTTGTGATAAGGCACGAAAAATAAACCATTGCGTGTGATATGAAAGAGGTAAATAGGTCATCAGCTGATTTACGAAACTAGTTTATGTGTTGGAGGATACCTACCGACCACTTTTAAGTATCTATTGTAGTATTGTGTCAAATCGTATACAGCATGATTGATGTCAGTGCTGTATTAAAATACATACTTTAAATAATATCTGGAAACAGATACAGATACTTTACTTAAAAAGATCCATTTAAGAAAACAGATAATTTTTTTTATAATTATTTAATTCGTCAAAAATATAGCAATACAAAATTATAACAAAACAAGTAGTAGATACTTAATTTATAATACAATAATTTTTTATCTACATTTTTATGTCAGTTTTCAAATATAATATTATTTTTATAAAGATTTAAGTTATAATACACATAATATATAACAATATTAAAATATTGATTAATTATTGATAAGTATAAAATAAATAATGAGTATTATCTACTCGTCAATAGGTACAGATTATACTCATATATAATACATTATACATAATAATTTATAATAATAAAGAAATCAATAATTCATGTCGAAACTTTTAAGTTTTATTTTTGTATTTTGTTGAACCAAAAAGTAGGTAAGAATTGTATCATAAAAAGTACCTTATATACTTTCATTTAAATATACAATATTTTGTACCCATCTAAAATACAGATACAGATACATTTATTTATAAAGTATCTAGATACAGATACAAGGTAAAAAAAAAGTATCTAGGTATACCTATTACAGCACTGAATGATATACCATGTTTCTGTATGTTGATAATATTTTTCTGTAATTAATAGTATAATGTAATATATACCTAGTACAGATCATGGTTCTGATCATAGGACTGCTTGTAAATAATGGGTTTACGGATTTAACTCTAAATTATAATAAAATCTATTATAAATCTATGGGTTTTAATACCTAATCCACGAGTAATTGGAACTTGTTCGAAAAATAATAAAAAACTGTTTTCGGAAACCCGGCCTGGTCGTTTATTGACACACTGCACACAAAATACTTAAAATACTATCCGACGTGGTATTGTATAATAAATCAAGGTTTATTTTCGATTCTTTTTCTCCACTTGCTTCGTCTGGAGCAAAAGCTTCAAATACAACCAAAGGTATTACAATTAAATATAGTAGAGTTTGGTATTCAAATATTACAAATTAAAAATACTTGTATAAGCATAGAAATTACGCTATTATGGGCTATAAATCAGCGTTTTCCAAATAGTGGGTCGCGACCCACTACCGGGCCACGAAAATATAATTTTGTTATTTATCATTTCATTTGATAATTTGAACTTTTTAGTAAAAATAAATTCATTAATACGAATAACCATTATGTACAACGTAAATAATAACTATTGAATTCATAATTTTTTTTTCTCGATAGCTAAAGCTATAAATATTTATTTCACTTTGAACCTTGGTGTCTGACGCGAGTAGTGACGACGCACGTCTACGGCGTCTTTCGTAAATATACAATAATTACTTGACATTTTGTATTGTATTGTTAGATTTAATGTAGTTTTTACAATTACTGTTTATTGAAATTGTATGAAACATAATGTACATTCATCATATATCTATCATGACGTATTATGCTCAAGTACGCGTTTTCGTACCGCAGCAATTTTAAAAACGCGGGCTCGCTATGATTACACGCGGGTGCGTTTTAACCACGTCCCCACTTTTAAATGGACATTTTTAAACGTTCGCCCTTTGGACGTTTAAAACGTCCTGAATGAATATGTATATATTGGAAATACGTAGTATAATTTTAGCATTCGATTGTGTGTAAGACACGCGTCTTAGTTTCCCGTGTGTATTTAAATATCTGAATACACGAGGGTACAATTGTGGGTGATTATTTGCCACGATTTTAAAACGCGTATGCGCACGTTCAAAACGCATTGTGTGTAACCACTTCGAGTGAAAGTAATATTTTAATAACAGCTTCATACGTCTCACTGATAGCAGTCAACTAATCCAATTTATTTTATTATTATTTATTTATTTAAGGGCAGTGGGCCCAGTATAATTCACAGAAACGTGTATTTGGATTAAATTAACTAAGTGGGTGTAACACTTGCCCAACTTTACAAGTAATAATTTTAAAATTTAGTTAAATTTGCCTAAATAATTTTAGTAACATAATAATAACTACAGATAATAACAATATACAAATACGTGATATAAGACATGCAAATAATAATGAGATGTACATAACAACGTTATTAATACCTATATATTAAACATACGAAGATGCTCATTGCCAAGGCGCATCATCCTATCAATTGGCTAGTTTCTGCCGTAATTAGTATTATGAGCTAAAATAGCTAAGGAAGCAGACGACCTGGTGGGACGGGTAGGTACTTTAAAACTGTCTTGATAAAGTAAGGAAGGAGCGTTATCCATACATCCATCAATCAACAAAATGTAAAAAGAGCAAGTTAGCCTCAACTCTTCTATCAGCCAAAGAGACAAGGCCGAGTTTGTGCATAATGCATGGTTGGTAATCGCGGGGAGGTAATTAGTAACTATATTATAATTATTACAAATGAACGCTTCAAATTTTATTAAAAAATTCTATGTAGACATTCAAATGTATTTTATTTTGCTTTTTTTACACAATGATAAATGTAAAATATTTTGGTGGGTCACGAATGGGAAAAATATTAATTACCGGGCCAGCTCAAACAAGAGTTCGGGAAACGTTGTAGCGGCTATATTAAAATGTCCGAAATTTATAGTCCGATATTTTATTCTGACCGTGTTTTGTCCGAAAAATAAATCCGTTGAAAATATTCGTTATCCTACCACAAAAACAGATTGTGTATACACTGTGGATTGTGGTATACCCACAGATATACATAAGACTGATTGTGCCAATAAAAGTATTTTATTTTAAAAATTACCCATAGCTTACAGCTTAATTGAAAATGCATTAATTATCCATACGATATGGTGTATTATCTAAAAAGACAGAGACAGATATATCTCAAGTCACGGTCCTAGAAGATTCCTTATCTCTTTCAAACATACTGTTTTTTGTGATAAGATAATGAATATTTTCATCTAAAATATGGTTCGGATGATGAGACAATCGCGGTAGCTCGGAGGATCGTGTTATCACTATACCACACAAGTTGTAGGAAGATTATCTTATTAAAAATATTACTGACGATAATGTTGTAATATGTTATAATTTATATATTGTAATTTATTAGTACTACTTTGCCCAAAAAGATAAATTTAAAATACATTGTGTCAACTTAAAACCTTGTCTGAATGACAAATGGTCACGAGTAAAGAATAAATAAGCTGTGAGTAACTAAAATTAATAAATTATGCAACTGTGATGAAATTGTGTATGTACATTTTGAATAGCTGTAAGATTTTTCAGACTTTGTTTGATATTAGTGTTCTCTGAATATATTGGTTTTCCTAAGCTACCAGTAAATTGATTTTTTGGTTGAAAAAATACTTCTTAGTTAATCAAATTTCTTATTGACTGGTATCAATTTTATTTCTTTCATAGCCTCAAGCTTCTCTATTTGAACTTTCACTAAACAACGATCAAGATATTTTATAATTTGACTTTTTATTTCACTGCTGTAGTACCTAATTCAAATTTCACTAAACATGTTTTAGAAAATAACCATAATATAAGTTTTTATATTAATACAGACTTAGAAATACTATATACCCAAAATAACATTTACATTATTCAGTTTTAGAAAAATTACACAATGAAATAAAGATAAATAATTTTAATAATATTTTAAATGTTCAAACCGATTTTATAATTAATATCTTATTTCAATACAATTTAGATAATAAATAACAACCAAATAATTTATATTTCTCAACATATTTATGTCTAATAATAACTAATCTTAAATAGTCTCTTCTATTAAAATAGATTATTTTTATATTCTATGTACTTAATGTACATAGAATTACATAGAATTTTCTATATATTCTTTCATTCAATTTTGTATATTCAGTCGCGTTTTACATTTTGACTGTGATATATCTGATAATGAATTTTTAATTCAAAACTGGTCGTGTAATACACTTATCATAATACTCCAGGCGACCTATTGATTCATTTATTTATTTTATTTTTGTATATACATTTTTATTTACTTTATTAATAAATTATTATCAAGGTTAAATATTATCTAAACTGTTTTTAAAAATGTGTCATTTTTTTAATCAATTTATTTTATATTTGCATTTATGGATTTATTATATAGTTTTGTTCAAACCTATTAGATTATTATTACCTTTGTTTTACCTATTAGATTCTGAGTGAAGCGAGAAATGTATTGGTTTTATTATATTGATTTTTTTGTTGATATTTACCACTAACCGATTCAAAAACTACATTATGATCAGTTACAATATGTTGCTTCAGCTCATTCCTTAAATAATATTTTGATCCACAAATAGGTCAAATTATTCTGTGTTGAAAATAATTATTGCAGTCAATACCCATATTGCGAAAACGAGATTGCAAATTATAATTTGAGTTGGTGAAATATGGACATTATTCGCATTTGAATTGTGAATACTGTCCATGTATATTTTTTACGTGACGAATCAAGTTTGATTTAAATTTTGTGAAAAAATTACAATAATAACACTTTTCCATAATTAAAAGAAATAAATGTCAATCCTTGACTAATTCCCTTTAAGTCAAGCTATTACTATGTAAGTTACGCTACTACCAAATCAAGCTCTACCGTGTATTATACCTTGGGTAATTACGTGATAGAGCAATTTCACTATCAAAAATCGATAAATGAATAAATAAAGTATACATATTTGGAAATACGATGTTATTTTCAGAATAGTAATATTAAAGTAAAGACATACCAAAATAATATTTAAATTTCTATACTTGTCAGTTATCGATCTTTGATAAGATAACCTTCCTACAACTTGTGTGATATTAAGATGGTAATGTGGTAGCACGATAGTGTTAACACGATTCTCCGAACTGCCGTGATTGCCTCGTTTTATATGAAATATTTTCAGTTGAATTATTTTTCGACCAAAATACGGTTCGGATAAAATATTTTCGGCTTAATTATTTTCCGGACACAATTCATTTCCAGTGATATATTTTTCGGACAACATAATATTTTCGTCTAGATTATTATTCGGATGAAATATTTTCAAGTTATGTATGTTCGAACGATATATTTTTCGGCCAAAATACGTTTTTGATGACATTTTTTTCCAAAATCCCATTTATACTTCGATCCGTTATTTATTCTTATCATTATTTGGCCTTAACATTTTCGAACAACCGTACCCACATCCTAATCTTCAACCGTAGTTCTGATAATATATTGAAATTAAAACATAGGTGTGTTTTGGTCACCGTTTATTAACAACAGTGGTTGACCTACATTTTATTCGAAAAATTTTTTTTTTTAAAAATGTTTACGAAAATTATTCGAGCAGAAAAATGATTTGACTAGAAAAGTATTTTAGTAGAAAAATAATATATACGAAAAGATATCGGACGAAAATAAAATGCTAGATTAATATTTTACCAGAAAAGTTATTTTTCCGAAAATATTGTTTACGAAAATAATTTATTAGAAAATTAGTTTTACCAAATACAATTAGAACGTGTGTTTTGCACAGCATAGACTATATGTATAGACTACGGTTTAAGATAGGTACCTTAAGATATATCTTAATTCGTGATATAGACTGATGCCATTGACTGTGATAAAATTGATAACCTCTTGAATGTATGATAACAACCATAATCGACTGAATTTATCTTCGAACTAATATTTATTTTTAATATGGTCCAAGGAATTTATCATTGATACAATGATTAAAACTCAATCAACGTATTTGTATTTGGATTTTATTTACCGCAACAATTTCAAGTAACTATTTAAATAAAATTTGATACTATTAAGTATCGTATTTTTCAAGAAATTAGAAAGATTAAAGATGATATAAAGAAAAATCGTACCCGGGCTAAATTAACGAAACTTAAGTATCCATTTCAGACACGAATAAATTCAATTGAGTACCTATTATTATACTAAATTTTCATAAACTAGAGTTGTGATTTATATAATGTATACTTTTTTTTTCTATTAGCGTATCATGTAGGTATATTAATTATAATGTCATTTGAATGATTTTGTTAAAATATTAATAAATAATGATTATGTATTATTAAAAAGTACGAATTAAGTTTAACTAGCTTAATTTGTACTAAATAAAAGTAAAATGAGTTCTATTGATTATTTTTTATCAAGTTTTCAACTACGGTTAATATTATCTTTAATCGTGTTTACAACTGTATTGATAAAACCTCATATAACCTTAAATTGGAAAAATGTTTGGTATAAACCAAATAAACCAAATGGACTCATGGTCCATTCCACATAAAGTTTAAACTATAAACATGGAGCAATAATATTTATAACGACCCGATCTACCCGCGACAGTCAATTACCGAAGTTGTTCGTATTCTGGTCAGTTTTTGTTTTCTATGTATTCACCATTGTTTATCAAACGTCAATTTATTCAATTATTCAATTTCTAAACATTTGTTCAATTTATTCAAAATTATACAGCGTAAGTTCTTATTTTAGTTTTGTTACTTCATTTATTATTTACATATTATATCAAATATGTCAAACACGAATTATGAACTTGACAAACAAATTTAAATATGTCTACTTTCCTGATATCAGGACCTTTTCGTTTTTGTTTTTTTTTTTTTCAAATAATGTTTAGAAAAATATAATTATCATGCTTAATTTTAAAATTTTACTAGTATTTGTGTGAAGACCGCTTACTGACCAGCTCAAGTGCCTTTGCAGAACAACTTTCTGCAAATATTATATTACATTTTTATATCATTCATTTTTAATTATATTCCTTTACTTATTATTCATGCTATTATATTATTTTATTATTCATTATTTATATAATTAAGAAATCAACTTTTTTTTTAAAAAAAAAAAAATAAATGAAATCTTGACTTTTTCCATGGACTTTTTTTTTTTGGAATTCCTAATTCTCACTATGCAAGACTGGGCTCTTGCTGTTAACTCCATTCATAGGCAAAATAATTAAAGAAAAGTACCTACATAACTCTACTTATAAGGAACGAATTCAATCACAAACTAATAAAAACCACCTAACTTTTTTTATATTTTACTACACACTACTTACTAATATCACATTAATTTACAAGATTAATATTTCAACCATGCAGAGACCGCATAAAATAAATCAATGGATGCATGCCATTAGTTGTAGATCTAGATAGATAGTCAAGATAATCTAGTCAAGAGATACAATAGAAAATGCTTAAAAATATATTTTTTTTTTTTTCAAAAATGATGTGTATTAATTATTAAAACTTTCGTACCTACCTATATAAGTATACAATTTTTATAATTTGTTTAAGTGGTTTTTCTCTGTTTTATGTTTTATAGAATGGCTTTTGTTGAATCTAGTGAATCTACGGTGTTGAAATTCATACGAGATTTTTTTTCATGTTTTGATACAAATCGTCACATCGTCCATACGCTATTTTCAGAAGATGGTACACTTGTGATATTCGGAAATCGTGTAGAAGGCCAACAAAGTATAAAAGAAGCCATGTTATCTTTAGTTTCTACCACTCACAATCTTCTTACTGTGGACATACAAAATCTGCCTTTAGCTTTGCCAAACAGTATAAGTATATATCAAGTTATGTGTCATGGTATTGTTAAAATGGGTAGTAATCCTCAGGAACAAGGATTTAGTACTACTTTTATTGTGTCATTCCAACACCCAAGTAAATTAAATGTTATAAGTTTTGTAGACCGAATGCAATGGGGTGTTTTGTCGTAAATATATTTATATTTGTAAAATGTATATATCTTTTAAATAATTGAATTCCTAATTAAACAAAAAAATGTTTTTATCGTAGAGCATTACAAGTTTCAAGATGATTCTATTATTAATGGTTTTTTATCCAAACATTTGAAATAATTGTTATTTAAGATAATTATTCAATTAAAAGTAGTATTTCTTTTTATTAATTCTGTGAGAATTAATAAAAAAAATAATAATTATTAATTAATAATTCAAATGTTAAAAATAGGAAGGAAGACTTGTTGTTTTGATAAATTCTACTCTAAATATTCATAAAGTTATACTTATGGTGAGGCAGTACCAATGATATAATGTATCTTTTGAAGTTTTACTACAGTATTGATTATTTGTTTGAAATAAGAAATCTAAGATATACCAACATACTTAAATTAATGTAAAACCCAACAAATCTGGTTGTGTTAATTGTTTTATAATAAACATTTATACTAATAGTTCTATTGGTCCAATGGATATTTGTAATAACATATTAGGCTGTATACATTTTAGGGCTCTGCTACATTATCTTTCTTCCGTTATTATATTGATAAAACAGTATTTTAAAATAGTAATCAGTAAAAAATAACAACAGAAAAAAACCAAAAAATATTTTACTTAATATAATTTTTAAAAATATTGAAACATAAAAAATGTATTTCTTATGAAAAATATTAGTTTTCTAATAGGAAAAAAGTATTTAAAAAAAAATCAACTGTCCTACATTGGGAAGGATTATCCTTCATTTATTTGATTTATCCTACATTTAACAACATTTAAACTTAATGTAGAACAATCCTACATTTCAAATATCAATATATAGATTTTAATAAGTTATACTTAATACTCAATACTTAATTGAGTCGATAAGGAGATATCATTTCAGTATTTTTAATAAATATGATTAAGTACAATATGTTTAAGTTCACATGAGCATTATAAACTTAGAAAAAGAGGTGTGGTCTGAAATATTATAAGCTCATTCAATTTATAATGTATTATATAGACTAAGAAATCATTTTCAGAGGTTCTAAATCTAATTCTGGACGAAATCATCTATATAACATCTCGAATTTGTGACTTGTCACCATATTAACAATTATTTGTGACACTTAGATACTTACCAGATAGTTAGGTTATTAATTACGATGGAATTTCAAATTTGAAAGAACTTGATTTTTTGAAGAAAATATGTTTCTCTACCACCAAACCCACTATATCTGTTAAAAAAATGATCAAATGTTATCAGTAACATAATATTTACATATTTATATTTATTTATGTGTATTTATTGAAACATATTTATTTCTGAATATGTAAACATATTATTTTTATTGTTAGATTATTAGGAGCTGGATCACAAATTAATTTTTTTTTACTATTGCTTATTATTTATAAACAATTGAACACATTTACCAGAAATATTATTTTTTTATTTTATTTCCTTATATGTTTATTTTTGAATATCTAAATATTATATTATTTTTTAAGATTTTTTATAACCAGTTCAACAAAATATTTTATTATCAACATGTTATATTTTATATTTTTATTTTGAATTATTTACTAATGTATATTATGTATCCATGAACAAGGGTATTAACTAGTTAAAAAGTTAATTTGTTTCATTTTCACAAATAGTTGAATTATGTCAAGAAAAAGAAATGTAATAAACTTTAAAAACTAGAATATGTATTCTTAATTTAGCGGTAAGTTGTAAGTGATAATGATAATGGTTATTCGATCTGGCTATCTTGCAGCCATTTGGATTTTCTGTCTAGACAATTTTTGAAAAACCATGTCCTACATCACACAATTTGAAAATTGGCAATTCTACTTTATTGTGATTTTCACTTGGGTGTTCTGGGTATATTATTATTTATTAATAAACCAAGTACCTACAGAGTTTTAGCCTAGTAATAATTTATATAATTATGCTGGGCACCAAGTAATCATTGGTTACAGAATATGATATTGAGTACCCGGAATATTATATTTTTAAAATTGTAATATTAATGCAAGTTTTTTAATAAATGGTATATCTATATTTAGCTATTTCCAGTGGTTAAAGTGAGGAGGATGAAGAGTAAAGAGTCTCCTCCTTTTAAGTCTTAGAAGTCTAGGAAGATGCTGTATTGTCTTCTTGCCCAATGAGAGGAGAAGGGATCTGGAAGAATCACCCCGTGTCCAGGATTTTCATGAGGACCCGATAACATAAGAAAAGCATACGTTGTTAGAGGACTCTATGGAAATCCTGTTCTCTGATTAGCTCTATTACCAATTAGATAAAAATGATTTCATTATCAATTATTAGTTATGATTTTAGATTATGAGTGGATCGAAGAAGCTTATCGTACAAAGATGTTTATTTTTTTTGTCAGAGAGGTCAACTTTTCTGCCAGAGATCTTATGAAATGTAGATATCCATACTTACATTTTTAGATTCTAAGCGAAGCAATTTGTTTTTTTTTTTTGTATGTGTGTGTGTGTGTAGGTAAACTACTTTTCTATCGGAAATCTCACTTCAATCGAAAACTTAATTTAAATTTTCTCTTAAAGTTTTTGAACTAGTTAATGCATTGGAGAGTTAATTTTTTAATTTCCTTGTAGTTTTCTTAAAACTGTCAATTTTTGATTTCTGAGTTACTCTGATAACAAAAAAAATAAAAAGTATGGACATTAAGACTGTTATATCACGTAACCTCACGTTTAGAAATACACTACTGCCTTAAACCTCTGTTATGCTTTTTTCATTTATAGTATTAAATCAGTTATTACGAATATTTTAACACAAATATTACTTGTTGGTTGGTACATATTTTATGGAAAATGCTCATCTAGGTCATCTGCTTGGGAAGAGCAACTATAAATTGTTTTATATTTATTGTTCTCGATAAAGATGAGAAAAAACAAGTCGACAAGAACATGAGTTTTGAAGACTAGGTAGTTCAAAAGCTACGAAACATTTCATTTGTTATGAAAAAAATACGTTTAATATAAACGTTGAATGAAAGAATGAATACGATTGAAATGACACCAAAAACTAGAATACGTGAGTCACAAATTTGTAAACTTTTATAAAATAAATGTGCGAGCTCCCACGTGAGTTCGATAACGTGACAGTGTGTATCGGATTCATTAATATATGTATTACTTAAGTAAAACACGCCCTAAATGTGAATTCACGTGATAGCATACGTGACGTGACAGTAATCTGTGCCCACCTTAATAATAATACTCTGCTCAGAATAGTTTTTTGTTAGCAATAGTTTATCTTTGTGTATAAATATGAAATTACTTTATATATTCTCCCAACTTCCATCTTAAAATAGTGATACATCAGTAGTCAATATATAGTTTAATTTTGTGAATAATTATTTATTTTAAAATTTAGCATTTTTTGTTATTGTCCATCCGTTGATTTTTGCAGAAAGTTTCAAATTTCCATTGTTTTGCCGGGGGACAAGTTGGAAAAGGATTGTCCAAGCATCCTTTCCTTATACCACAGCTGGGATGTGGACACGAATCTTGCAGACCATTGAATTTTATGCAGACACAATTTTGAATCTGAAAAATAACATTGAATATTATGGGACAATCGCAGTAAATTACAATAGCAATGTAAAAAGGGTCTACAACTAGTTTGTGCACGTTTTAAAATATCTCAATGTTTTAACTGAGATATTTTAAAACCTAGATGTCGTTTGCGCACAAAATATAAAATTAACCACTGATTAACTCAATAATACTATGATATATTCGAATATTTATACGTAGATATTATTATATATTTATATTATACACACGTATGCAGACAATGGTATTGCCGCTAATAAAGGATTTATGATTAAAATAATGAATAGAAATAGTACAAATGATTGAATAGGTAAGTTGTGCATGTCCTTACAAGAGCAATTTATGAATCACTCCCAAGGTAAACCTTTGGAGTAGATAATCAAAATAAATTTAAATGATCGATTTTCTCCTTTCTTTAGCGTAACATTATTAATTACAATTTTTTTTTTGTGCGAACCAGAATAACATTTTTAATCACAGTTACAGAAAGACCGTAAATACCTACTTACTTAATTTTCCCGGGAAAATTATGTAGGCATTGAAATTTAACAAATCGAAAAAAGTACTTGAAAATGGAAATCTGGTCAGACCAAAAGTATTAAAAATGTTTTAACAAATATAAAATATTGATAATTGGAGCACCTGTGTAACATTAGTTTCTTATAGAAGACCGACATATTTTGGCGTAATAGAGTAGACCGTTATTATAGAGGGAAGGGAAAACTTGAATGGTACTTAAAATATATTGGGTAATCAGCGACTAGAATTGTATAGCAGAGCGAGATTTACATTAATTGTATTATGTATATTTGAAGTAGGTATTTTAGATTTTCTGCTAATATTCGTAATACAATGGTTTATTTTGAATTTTTCATAAACCGTAGTAAAAATCTGTCATTTATGCGAATCCATATTAAGAAAAATACCTACCAACAGTCTCATTTCATGTTGTAATCTATTTTTAAGTAGCCCGACGTAGTGTTAATCCATCGAATAGTCTACACTCATTACTTCTTATCGCTCGTATTTATATATTTAAAAAAAAAATTTTTTTTCCCATTTTTTATGCTTTTATAATATATTAATATAGTTTATTTTAAGATTCGTTAAGTCTTATTATAGCGTTTATTTCAGTTATTTTCAGTGCTATAAAATTCGAACCCTGGTAATCGGTATTATATTATACTGAGTTATACTCAAAACAACAATCCCTACATGCTTGAAATCAAAAAAAAAACGATCCTTAGCGGTTCTCGCAGTAAACTGATAAAGCTATATAAGTATTTGGCCTATTTTATTTCCTTGTAGCCAACAAAGTAACTAAGAAATGAACGAAAGTAAAACTGTGGACTTGTGACGGTTTTTTTTTTAAGTTTGTAGAAAAGCTATCAGGTATAAAAAAAAATAGTTCGAATAAAATATCATCGGGCGAGAAATCAGTATTTTTTACAATACAATGTATGAATAATTTAGAGCATTTTTACCACTTGTGAAAGAAAACGGGGTAAATGGAAAATCGTTACTGTTTGCTGTGAAGAAGAAAAGAAATGAAATGGGTGAAATATAAGTGCTTGAAAAAATATGTCCAACATTAAATTAAATATAAACTAGCTGACCCGGCAATGTTCCGCTATTGCATGATTTCTCAGATATTAATTTGCTATTTATTTTCTGGATGATTATTTGCATTTTAGACCACTTTTAGTCACGTCTCCGTGGTAATGTAACCATATAAATTTAGCGTCGCCACCGCGGATTCTTCATAATGTTGAAAAAAAATTAATACAAAGTTACATAGTAGTTCATAGCAGAATAATCTTTTCTCGACCATGAACCTCTATCGTTAACAACATCATCATTATTTGACTGTCGTTCTCTACGTACTACACGCATTCTTTCGGCATCATTCCGAGATCGACCAATATTTGACTTTCGTCTAGGCATTTTAAAAAATGAGAGTAGTATAATCAATTACGCCTTTAAATGATTAAACCGGCCAACAATCAACACTTAATAAACTAACAATCAAAATCGATAAAAGACGTGTTCCACCGAAAACGATAGAAAACTATTACGCCGGACTATTAATATACAGTCCATATAACGAGAATAATGTCGGTGATGTTGTAACGGCGATGTTGAAATAAATACGGAAATCTGAAATCGAATGCGGTGGCTGGCAGTGAGTGCGGACGCCAGACGACGCGAGCGCACAACACCTGCCTTGGTTATTAGCGGGTATTGTTAACACGGATATTTGGATACACATGTCGTTGGTGTACGTGCGATTAACTTCTCTGAACAACGCCGGTATCAAACACAATACAAAAAGGTCAGGTCGCAGGTAGCTGGAAACCCGCGGTCCACCGTGCCGCGCAATATGTACAATAATGTGTATAGGTGTACGATTTACACGTTTATTTTAATTAATAATAATTAATTATTAATCGACTTTATCGGACTAAATTTATGCCTAAAACCTTCTCTATGATGTCCTCTTTAATTTAAAAAAAATTGCACGACGATATTGAATAAGCAGTTTCGGAGTTTATCCCGAACAAATAAAAGCGACTTCATTTTATATTGTAGTATAGAAGTATAGATTCACAATACGCGATATTTTTACTTGTTCAATATTTGAATAGTTTATACACTGAAATAAAACTAATGGTTTCACCTTAAATAATGCTATACTCTGTATAAATTATTACTCATTTGTTACTTTCTGGTCTAATTAAATTCGCAGTAATTTTTCCCGGACATTTCCATCCAACTAATAGTATTTTTATTTTCTTGAAATTACGTAAGAATTTTTTTTTTGTTGTACAACATTAAATCATTTCCTTTTTCAGTTTTAAAACTTTCCATTACAATTTAAGAAACCCCGATGTTTAACGACCGTACCAATATTCCAGGTTCGTACGGATTTTCCGACAACCAGAAAAATGAACTCGTCATCTTATTAAAACCATCGGTAGGTATACCTACCTACGTATTGACTTCACACGAATTCTAAAACGTAAACCTATTATAATTCGTAAACTTTGGACGGTTTTACCGGGGTTCTCAATTTGAAGGGGAGGAGAGGAGTTTTAGTGATCCGACGGATCGAGAAAAAAATCACCTCCCGCCCGAATATATTTCGTTAGTCGGGGGTAGGGGGGTAGTAAGGATTGACATGATTTCCTATCGGTTATCGCTTACCGTCCGACCCGTCTGCTGAGCAAATTCTTTTCCGTACTCTGTTAATTCGAAATTTTCGCACTCGTTATTTTTCAACGTGCAGAAATCTCGGTTTCCGCAACTAATCTTATCGCACTTCGCTCCGCACGAATTATTGGCAGGTGCCGCCGACCCACACGGTTTCTTCTTACATGGGTTCGGCTTCGTCGTCGATGGATTCTTATACTGGCGGCACGGCGTCGCGGCCATCGGCTTGATCGGTAAAGCGCAACACTGCACTTTTTCCGAGGCCTGTTTAAGACAGTTCGGTTTAACCTTGACCGGGGGATTTCGGGGGCACGTCACAGGCGTTATTGGCGACATTACGCAACAGTCTCGGCTCTCCGGTCTCGGTTTTTTACAACAACACTTTTTGTTGTTGTCGTTCGGCTGGGGTTTCCCGCAGGCCTTGCCGCCATTCACGTTCCGCGTGTTAAGCGTCGTGTTCAAACCGACGCACTGGGCATCGTACGTGCACTCCATTTGTAATGAGATTTAAGTAAGCGAAATTCAAATTCTTGTTTAAATAATTTTATAATATTTTTTCACTGTTCGTCTTTGCCGGTAATGGTGTTTTGGCGATAAGTAGTTTTATAAACGATAATAATACGGTTACCGGGTAGATAGGTACGTTAGAAACCGTTTGGTTGTTATTTTTCATTAAGGCCAACAAAAACAACTATTTAAAATTTGTAAAATCCGTTATTTTTAATTTATATCTGTAAACAACGATAAGCCATTGCCAAAGAAAAAACGATTCGGAAAGAAATTCGATTATAAAACTAATAAAAAAAAAATACTACATTAAAATCAATTTTTTTTTTGATCATCTGTCTAAATTTTTGTTTAGTCCAAGAATTTTATCCAAGGAGTACATACCAAAAAAAAAATTACACACAAATCTCGCAAAATTAAAATATCTATAAATAACTCAAAAATGACTCAATTTTTAAAATCTTACCACGTCTAGAAAAACAAATAAAATATTGTGTAAAAATGTCAAGTTTCTATGTATATTTTAATCTAATTACAATAAAAAAAAAAAATTGAAAATCATAAAATAATAATTTTCGTAAATTTTCTTCCCTTTCATTATATGTTTTTTTTCTGGTTTTGTTCAATTATTAAAAAAACTAAAAATAAAATCTAAAAAGTAACGTCTTATAAAAATTGATAATAATGAAATCCGTACGCCGTAAATTAGTTCGTTTTTTATTTTTTGTCTTTTTTTAATTATTCTGAAAACTATTTAGAAAATCAGAAAATGACCTATTCAATGCACCAAATCATAAAATCTCCTTTTAGAAAGGAGATAGTCCACTTTTAAGTTTGAGCTGGAGGAGAGTAGTGGTGGTAATAGTACATTATTATCATGTCACTCACCATATCGCCACAGTAATGATACTACACTACTCTCCTTTCACCCAAATTTAAAAATGGAATATATCGTCAACAGATTGACGGAAATCAAAAGTGTCAAATTTATTTAAACTAATACTCCATCTATTTATGGACTTTTTAATATAGGTTGCTCTTTGAAAATCAAAAGTAAGTAGTGGTTTTACCCACCCAACAATAAAGGTAACACAATTTTTAGTATCCCGTCAATATTGCATAGTAGAACAGAATCATGGGTACTAGACAATTAGTTATTTTAATAAAATTGTATAGGTTATTCTGGTTTAATTTTGAATGCCATCTGTGGTGATACACATTATATTTTCTCCTCAAAAGAGTTGAGTGTTTAAATTATATACATTATAATGTTAACCAAAATCTTAGTAATTACTGTTAGTACCTAGTATATATATATAAAGACTATTTTCTTTTCTTTGGGATCCAGTTAAAAAAGGACATAAAATAGCGTTTCTAACCCAATATGGTGCAATATTATTGATTTAAGTGATCTAGTATACTATTTGACAAATGTAATAATGTATGTGTACAAATTTAAATACATATTTAAGAATGGCTCAAAATAAATAAAAACTTTCATAAATATTTTATTTTTTATTTTTCTTCTTCTTGTCTATGGACACGTTTTTCCTGTTAAACTTGTTCCGATTTTTACGTTTAGCAACTTTTCTGAAAGCTTAAGTTGTCTAGATAGTTCTTTAGAGAGGTTATTTTGTAAATAAATGCACTTAAGTATAAAAAACGTAGGAAAACGTACAATTTCACGATTTCATAAAAACACGGCGTTTTTTACCAGAAAAAATGATTCAATCGAAAAATCTTAAAATACCCTTTTGATTTACTTTCTTACTATATCATCGTCAAAACTTTTGATGTTTTAAGGAATTTTAATTTTTGGAAGTTTTTTGCTGCAATTCGGTTATAAATACACGTAGAGACTTGAAACTTGATAATAATACTTATATTGGACTAACATAGACGTGGTAAAATTTCCAATATCATCGGACAGACTTTTTTTTTTTGATAAGCGTTTTGAAATTAAATTTCAACGAAAATCGCAAAAACTATGTATTACTGAACTGCGCTCGGAATCATCTTTCGTCAAGCAAGAGATTATTGTTGCTTACAGATATAAATGAAATAATCTTATGTATCCTACTTTCCCCAACTTCTCACCTACAACAGTAGCCGCTCCAATTCACAGTATCGGCTTTTTTTTTTAAAGCAAGAAAACTTACTGTGAAGCTAAGAAAATTATTCGAACATTATTTGTCTCCGCCACTTTTTGAAAAGGATAGTTTCCCATTCATTTTTGAATTGACCTTATAAATAACATCCTGCTGTCTCTTTAAACATGAGTAGGGTCTGTAATTATATGCACGCATAAATGCACTGATTATCATTAAAATATGCAAACAAAAATGATTAAAACAACTAATCCTGACAACATTTTTTTTATCTAGAAGTGATTAGATAATATAAGAAAACAAATTTCTTACGAATCATAGGTATACGTGGGTAAAACAAACGAACAATAGTAAAACAAATGGGTTTGAAACACTTAGGTATTTAACCATAACACAATATAACAGACACGTGCAGGACACATCAAAAAATGATAAAATATGCAAAATATCTCTTTGTATTTCGGGTCTATTGACTATAATTCACACTTGTAGCTTATCCAACTAATTTTTGTACTGTTAAAAAAACATGAAAATGCATATAAATCCGGGCACTGAACATGAGGTTATACAGGTGCCGAAAGTTAAACCTATGCATATAGATCAAGAGTTGGTAAATTTAGCCTAATTAGGAATCTTAGCATCTCATATAGCTGATGTAAATTGATGATTAATTTTTTTACCATACTAATGTTCAATTTTTATTTTTTTATGGCCTGCAGAAATTTGTAAGATTTTTAAATTTTTCGTTTTATCTGTAAAAATTAAACATAATAATACAATGCGAAACTCATAGCACTTTATTGTGCACACATTAATAAAATAAAAAATATAAATAAAGTTACAAAAAAATAAATAATTTAATTAAAATTAAACTATATTATATTACACAGATATAATATATGGAATACAAATAAATAAATACACAAAGAAAAAAAACAAAAAAAAGCCTAAAGTATTATAATAAATTGTTTATGCATAGATTTTGATTTTAAAAAACTATCATCAGGTAATAGAATAAAAAAACTGAAAAAATTGAATATAAAATTAATATAAGGAATACATCGAAAAAATTACTATTCTATACACAAGGAATAAACCAATTCTATTTGAAAACTCAGTTCATATATTCAAATGTTTGACCATTTAAACCAGGCTGGAGAGATTGTAAAATGGAATGAGATTTAAAAAGTTTTTTTATACCTAAAAAATATTGATACAAAAAATTATTATTTTAAAAATCTGTCAGTCGATTCAAGATCTTTTTAATTATGAAAATGAAATTCAATTGTAATAAACTGTATATTAAAAAACTATTAGAAACTTTAAAATTAAATACCAAGAGCTTATCTCTCTTTCTATTATTTCATTTGCCAAATTTTCCATTACTGTAAACTTTCCTTCAACTCTCCCTTTGAGGACTCCAATGTTCATGTTAGCTACCTAGGCCTGCCGCAAGGTAGCTGTCTTAAGTCCCATCCTTTTCAATATTTATTTTAATGCCGTCCTATATTCTCTGTTTGTTAATGGCTTCCAAGCTATTGCTTATGCTGCTGACGATCCTATTATTTTTTTCTTGATTCTCACTTGTGGGCCATTTAAAATCCGCCTTCTCACGTCTTTCTACAATTTCGAGAGACAGTTTTTTTGTGGCTGTATTAGATAAATAAAAAGGATTAATTCTCCCTCATGTTCTCATAGAGAAACTTTATTTCCTTCGACTCTGTAGTTTCCAACCTAGGTTTAACGATGGACTCTGAATTACGTTGAGGCCCACATTTCCAATACTTCCGCTGCTTTACATCTAAATGTGCGGAACTTTTCCAGTCCCTAACGGACATGGATTTCACCCATCATCATTCTTTTAGTTTACAAGGATATAGTTATAGCCAGACTTGACTATGGTTCATTTTTATATAGTTTAGCAGTATAGTGTAAGTCTACCGCACTAAACTCAATGTCTACCAAAATATGTGTCTTTCCCAGCTCTAGAAGTCGAGTTATGTGTTTCCCCTTTGGATGTTCCTTCTCAGTGGCTTAGCTGGTTGTTCCCTGGTCATCATGATTCGTTCAGAAAACATCCGCAGGTTATTCGTTTTATATTTCTAGTCTTTCTATTACATTTTCTAATAACATTCCCATATCTGCCATATCTTGGGTTAAATGTGTTTAAGCTGAGAAGTTTAGCTTCTTTATTGTTTCTTCGAATCATAATTTTTAATACAAAACTATATTTCAGAACTTGAATACTTTTAGTGTAACTATTACCTATAATCATAATAATACAAATAAAAATAAATTTAAGTGACATTTTACAATTTCCCTGCAGTAGTTAACAAAATCGTTTCACTTACTTCAAAGTTTAGAAATGAACAAATCATTTTTGCCAAATGAATCCTAGGCCCCAAGTTCACCAATGAAGAATAGAACCACCAGTGGCGCAACTAGGGAAGGAGGTGTTAGGAGGTTGTGACCCGCTCCCTCCCCAAAATATGTTGGTTAGTTTTTTACAAATTTTACATAGTACGTAGTTGTACGATTCTCATACAGATTTGAAACACCGTGTATGAATAAGTGATAACAACTATCATCATAAAGATTATTTTCTACATTTAGAAGGCTAAAAACGTATTTAAGAAATACTACAGGACAGCAGAAATTTAATGGAATGGCTACTTTAAACATACATACGGACATTGAAGTTAAACCAGATTTAGTGTCTAATGTTGAGACACTCTTCTATTCGAAGAATTAATCTTAGACTGTAAATTATTATTATTTTACAGAGTGGGTCATTTAAATCTTAAAAATGTTTTTGGTAATAATTTTATAAAAAAAAAAAACATAGTTACTTATTTTAAATGATTTTTCGTTTATTTTGGAAATTTGTTCTGATTACTTTTTAAAAATAATATCGCTTAAATTTTCGCCTTCAGAGCAAATGGCATTTCTCGTTTTTTGGATTTTCTCATCACTTTTCGAAGTGTTTAAGGTTGAATGGTGCCGTAAATAAACAAAATTGTTGGTTGTACGTCAATGGAAATCCTTAATTAATTCATGAAAAACCACTTAACAATCAACTTTTTGGGCCGGAATTTTTACGAAAACAATCATTGGACCGTTTTTTTTCAAAGGAGATACTGGAGAAGCCGTATCCATCAATGTAGAGCGTCATCAGGCTATAATAACGGATATCTTGATTTCATTTCTGACTGATAATGGCATGAATAACTATTGGTTTTAACAAGACGGTACCACAATTCATACAGACCAAGCCATGATCGCTTCATTGAGTCCTTTATTCCTCGAACAATTAATTTCAAAAAATGGTGATTACGATTGACTTCTGCGATCATCCGACTTAACGTCTCCAGACTTTTTCCTGCGGGATTATTTGAAGTCAATTTATTATGTTGAGAAGCCACGAATCCTAGAAGCGTTAAAAAATAATATATGACAGGAAATGGCTGTTACTTAGCCTGAAACACTTCGAAAAGTAATAAAAATACCAAAAAACGAGCACATTTCACTATTTGCTCTGAAAGAGGCCATTTACGTGATATTATTTTTAAAAAATATTCAAAACAAAATTCCATGTATGAAATAAACGAAAAATTATTCAAAATTATACCTTTTTTTTTTTAACTATTACCAAAAAACATCCCAAAGGTTTAAATGGCCCAACATGCACTTATGAGTAAAGTATATTAAAATACACAATTAATATGAATCTAAATTGTTTTTCAATATGCGTTGTTTATAAATGAATGTAAACAGTTTAAAGATTTTACTCACAAACCTAATTAAACCGTACCCCCTCCGCCCCCTCCCCAAACAACATACGAAATTGATTTTATGAATTTATGCAAAATTCAACCATACAAATGGGGTGAGCTCTGAGTATTATTAACAATAACCTTATATATTATATTATATCTTTATAGATATAAAACAAGATTGTGTAAATAATAATAGTAAAGTACTTAAAAATTATTATTATCCCCCCAACTCCCCATGATAAATCATTAGACCAACATTGTGATGGTTAATAATTATTGCAAAATATCAAAGTAATATCTATGCAATATTTTACTGAATGATTGATAACAAAAAAATATGTTAACACTTTCTTATAAAAAAAAGTGGGCAATGGCGGGGATTCATCACAGTACAATCCCCCCCCTACGGGGATAATCACCTACATTCACTTATAAATATTATTATAATATTTTTGTAGTTTTTCTAAAATCAGGTACATTAAAATTGTAATTGAACAACCCAGTAGAATTAAATACAAAGTAGTGTAAACAAACACTATTATTTCATAATAAAATATTATGTTTTTACTTAAAATAAAACAGTAAAGGATATAATACTAAAAAAACAATTGTTAAATAGAAAATAAAAATGATACACAATTAATACCATTTTTGCCATAGTGTCCAGAAGCCTGGAATAATCCTAAATTTTTGTATGTAATTCAAGAATTTGAATTTTAAACTTCAATCATCATTTTCATAAATAATAATTATTTAAAAATCTAAAAGTAAGTAGTTTATTCTAAATTTGTTTTGTTTTGCTTTTTTGAATGTCTTTATTTTTCATCAACTAATGTCTTGTATCTTTTTTTGGTGTACTAAATTGACATACAATTAAATTTATGCAGGTTTGTCTTAAAAATTACTAATATATGCCAATTAAATACTTCAAATATGTGCTTACAATAATAAATTCTGAATTATTTTAATTTAATCTTATACACTTCTACTGTGTATGTTCTAAAAAAAAAAACAATAATAATTTTTGAAGGATTAGGAATATTATAAATTACTCATAACAACTTATTTGAGTGAAACAAATTAAAAAGTAATAAATAATGTTTATCTGAACATGGATAACTAGTATATTATTAGCTCCCTGTTGAATACTGATATTTATAAATTTTAAATAATTATTTTATGGATCATATTTCAAATATTGTAACTATTGTTATTATTTTTAAATATTATTAAGTAAATATTGTATTAAGTATTGTAATATATTTGGTGAAAATAAGATGCAAAACTTTAAAAAAACTTCACTGACCTCAAATCAGTCTGGTTAGTTTATTGATTGTTTCTTGTACCTACATCATATGGATGGGTATAAGGGAAAAATAAAATGTTTAATTAAATTTGATTGAAAATATATTCTTTACTATTAAATTAAAAACAGGCACTTGTTCTTCGAAGTAAAAAGAAATATATTTAGTTATTCAATTTATGAATTTTTTTTTTACCTTAACTATAAAAACTTTAATAGGTGATACATTGAAATAAAAATAAAATTTGTTTGATTCTTTAAAAACATAATAAAGAATTATAATATTTTTTTTTCTATTGCAACATAATTTTTTTTTTTGTAAACATTATGACTCAGGTTATCAAAGGTATTTTAAATATATATAAATAAATTTATTGTTATTATGAGAATTGTCCGACTTTTTCATAAAATTATTCAATAAAACTTTTTTTAATTCAAATTTGTATTTTTAAATTTTTTTTGAAAAACTTTAAAAATATAATATTTTTACATTACTAATGAGTAATGTTAAAAATTACAAACATACAAGTTAAAATGTTGAGAATAATGAAATTTAAAAGTAACTATTTGTATACTTTACAAAGTATACAAACATGATTATAAAGTAGACAATGTAATTCAATTAAAGATATTGATGTAGTATGATATTGAATATAGATATCCAAAAATAATATTTGCATTTAACAGTAGTGTTGTAAAAAAAAAAAAAAAAACAATAAAATGTATTTCTTCTTTAAAAATGTGATAAACACAAATAAAGTTTTTGAAAATTGAATTCAAATTAAATCAGCAACTGAAATAAAAATAAATCACAATTAATAGACTTGTTATAATATTTTGAACAATTCCCTACAGGGTAATTCTGTTACAAAATGAGAGTAAACTTTAGAAAATAATGTTGGATAGTAATAATCATAGTTTCATGATAAAGTAATCGCCTGCATATATTGAGAAAAAAATATTATACATTTACCATTCATTGGCATTTCATCAATTTGTGTGGAATAATATTGTTCTATATCACGCAAAATTCTAATATCATCACTTTTTACAAAATTGATTGCCACTCCCTTTCGACCAAATCTTCCAGACCGACCAATCCTACAATCAAATTGAATAACTATATTATATATTATATTAAAATAAAATTGCATTTGAGNAAAATGGTCTGTTGTACTCAAATTATTGTTTATTTAATAATGAGTACTTTTTGTTTCATAAACCAAGGATTTTTGTTCAATTACTTTATTTAAAATATAGAAAACACAAATTACCTGTGTATATATAATTCTCTGTTGTTAGGTAGATCATAATTAATGACCAAAGAAACTTGTTGTACGTCAATACCTCTTGCCCATATATCGGTAGTAATTAAAACTCTTCTGTAATATATATATATACAAATTAAAATAATTTTCTAACATTAAAAGCTTTGATTTAATAAAAATTGGATTAAATTTATTAAGTCTTTACATTGAAAATATACTGTAAATACTTACGTTTGACCAGCACGAAATTCTTTCATTATCGCATCTCTTTCTTTCTGCGGCATATCTCCATGCATAGAACTAACTGTAAAATTACATTCGCGCATTTTTTCGGTAAGCCAGTCCACCTAAATAATCAATTAAACAAAATGTCATAATGATCTACGAGGTTTAGCTATTAAATAACGATACTGCGCGCGCAGAGAGCGTCCCAAAAAGGTTAGGGGAAAACCGAATACAGTGCTGGTTAGCTGGAAGTGTCTATTATGCCAATACAAAATCGGGTTTTTGTTGGTGCATTAGTATTTTTTCTGTAGCCTTTAGAAATGGAATATGTTTTTTTCTCTTGCCGAAAATAATGTGTGAGGAAAAACATGAGCAATGGATAAACGTAAAATTTTCTCGTTAAACTAAAAAAACTCCAACTGAGTGCTATAAGTTGTTAAAAGAGGCCTTTAGTGAGAATTTCCTATCTCGGGCACGTGTTCTTGAGTGGTATAAATTATTTTCTGAAGGTCCAGAGTGCACCGGAATCCAATTTAGTCGTAATCCAAATTCAAAACCATGCTGATCATTTTCATTGATATCAACGGCATCATGATGACTGAATGGGTTTCAGAGGGTCAAACTGTGAACCAACATTACTATTTGACAGTTTTGGCATTGCGCGAATGAGTTCGTAAGAAAGGGTCGATATTGTTTAGAAACAAGTCGTGGATCTTGCACTAGGATAATGCACCTGCCCATAATGCGCTGTCTGTGAAGTGTTATTTGACCACTTAAGGCACTCCAGTACTCGAACACACGTCTTAGGCATCCTGCGACTTTTACTTGTTTCCGAAGATAAAGTCTGTCTTAAAAGGAATCTGGTTTGAGTCGATGGAAGAGTGTGTGATGAGGGGAGGAGAGTATATTGAAGGGGAACATTCAGTTGTGGAATAATTTTTAATATAAAACCATTTTTCATAAGCAGTCTCGTTATTTAATAGCCAGATCTCGTATATGGTTGGAATTAGTGTTCCTCCAACAATCAATGTTGACAATGGTCAAATGTAGCTGTATCAATGAATGCGTATGAACAACTACAGTGTAGCGCTGATAGATTTATATACACATATAGCTGCATCCCACTGACAAAAACCTTTGGTCAGGCTCCTTCGTCAATGGTGGCCTTTAGTTTGATGCTGGGCGGAGCAACTATACGCGTGTATGCATATTTATGTATTTATATTACAACTTTATTTTATTGTTGGCTGACAGCCAAAGCACTAAATGTTCGGTGATGACTGATAATCGGGGAGCATGGTCAGTGCGTACTGCCAGCGCTAACTGTCAGTCGCATACTAATTCCAGCCTATAAATTGACACTATAATGTACCTTTCTTTTTGTACTACAGAAAATAACAGCCTGAGTAATAGTCAGCGTATCGTACAGATCACACAATGTATCAAATTTCCATTCTTCTCGTTCAACCGCAACAAAAAACTGCTTAATACCCTCCAATGTGAGTTCATCGCTAAAAAAATGGAATTAAAATAATTAATTATCGTGAATTTTTTCAAGAATCAAATACATAATTTTTTTTCTTACTAACCGTTTCACTAAAATTCGAATAGGATCAGTCATAAATTTATTTGTCATTTCAAGTATTTCATGGGGCAGAGTAGCAGATATTAGTATGACCTAAAAAGTTGCAACAAATTAAAATTGTTTCACATGTAAATATAATTCAATTATACCTGGGTAGCAGGTGGCAAGAACCTATACACATCATATATTTGTTCCTTAAATCCTTTATTTAACATTTCATCTGCTTCGTCTAATACTAGTGTTTTTATATTTCTTGTACGCAGTGTTTTACGTCTGATCATGTCTATTAAACAATTTAGTTTACAACAAAATATGTTAATATTGAGTTCTGAATTAATTGTATACATACCAAACACTCGGCCAGGAGTTCCGGAAACAATGTGTTGACCAAAGTCCAATTTTCGTAGATCCTCACCAAGATTTGTACCACCAATACAAGCATGACACTGGATATTTAAATAATCTCCCAAAGCCAAAACCACCTACACAATCAATAAAATATAATTATGATTTATATGTTGCTTGGAACTTCCCAGTGTTGTAGTAAAATGCTTTTAATGTAAGTATTTATTTTCCTTATCGAATGCATTAAAAATTACAATAGTACCTTTTGGATTTGTACAGCAAGTTCTCTGGTAGGTGATAAGCATAAAACTTGAGTATCTCTTAATTGAGTGTCAATGGATTGCAGCATAGCAATTGAAAATGTCGCTGTCTTACCCGTACCAGACTGAGCTTGAGCTATGACATCGCGTCCTTTGATCATCGGTTTGATAGCTCTTTGTTGTATAGCCGAAGGGCGTTCAAAACCTACAAAGAAATTTCATTGAAATTTATTTATTTATAATATATATTCTGACTTGCTTTTAACAATGGTATAAGCAGAACAATTTTGTATGAATGTATGCTTATAATATGTTAGTAAAATATAATATGTAATAAGTACATAATAAGTATGAATGAGTACAATATAACATTAAAGTAAGAAAAAATAAAAATATTAATACAAATTAAATAGGCTATACATAATATAAAATTATATTAAATGAAGGGTCGGTTTATTAGCAATTGGTAAACTTTATAATGCGGCTTATAGGCTCATTACTAAGCTAAGTGGTGGTATGAAGAGAGATTAAAAATGGGTTTGAGCTGCGAGTGTTTCGGACTAATATTTTAAAGTTAATGAGAGAGAGAGCAGGGTGGGTGAATCGACGGTAACACAATATTAGCAATGCATGGCCATGGTAGTATACACAAATCTTAACAGTTTGAAACACTCACCGTATGAGTAAATACCACGAACAAGATCTTCTCGGAGATGCATATTATCGAACGTAGTGAGTATTTCGACATCTTCACTAGTCTCAAAATCCACGTGTGATAAATTTTCAATTAAACGTTCCGGTTGTCTTTGTCTGGCTGTCATTTCAAGAATTAATAACTCTCACAATGTTCTTAAATTTAAATTAGAAACTATAGTAACAACTCAATTACTTAGCTTTGCCAGGTTTTAATAAAGTAATAATCGTATACTGTATACTGCCTTCTAAATTATAACTACTGAATGCTGGGTTCTTAATCCTTATCACGACTATAGATAATATTACACGGTCGATTGCGGTCGTAGATCCATAGAGTAATATGCAATATACAATAGTAATAATCACAGCACCAAGTTGTTATCGTACATTCAAGACATTATCAACTTTATCACAGTCAAGGATTTTTGTTTTTTGTGGTTATTATAAAATACGATTTTTAATATTTTAATCACAGTCTCTAGAAGAAGGTCTTCCAAGACCGTGATTTTAACTGTGGTCCATAATAAGGTGTATTAATCCACTTTGGTTCATAAATTACTATTTATTAGTATATTTATATACTATTTATATTACGATAATTTAACATGTTATCGAATAACTACATCATACTGTTAGTATATTTTGGGCAAAAAACCGTTCGCTTACAGGCTCGAGGATCCTTAAATAAATTATGAAAATGTGTAGACAAATATGGTTTAAGTAACGAAACTTTGAAAAAAATACCCATTTAATTATTTTAATACAATGTGCATTGAAAAATACACTGTTATAATTATCTCAATAATTACATAAAACAGTATAATAGAAATAATCATAATATGATCGGTGGCACTTACATAACAATTAACAAGCGAAATTAGAATAGTTACCGTCTGAACAATCGTCGTCGTCGTTTGATATGAATATGGACGTTAGACTTCGTTACCGACAAATAGCGCCATCTAGGAGATAAATGTAATCGTCACCAAAACATTGTCAGATTCCGCAGAGGAGCGTTGTTCTTCGATCTCGAATTCTGACGCTCGCTTGTGTTCACTTTTTCATTTGTGTATAGTATATATACGAGTGATTGGATTTATAATATCAGTTGGTACCGAGGTCTCGCTTGCCACAACTGTCAATCTCTCACTATGCATATAATATAATCCTCAATGTCATCATAAGAAGGGTGGCCAAACGACAGGGCATTTTGAAAGAACACCTGTACACATGCTTCCCACCCTTCGAAGTATTTGTAGTCCCCACTGGGCTGAATGGCCAAATAATCGCGGAATCCCAAACACATGACGGACAGTTGTTGCTTGTAATTAAATGGCCGACCATCGGTACCAAAATTTTTGGCGAAATTTCCCCCATCTTTGTTTACGCCGAACTCGTTTACACTAATAACAAATACATTGTATTTTTTTGTCTCTTAGGAAAATAATACCATATATTTTTCTTTTTTTCGTGTCGGTCTTTAGTTGTATACAGGGTGTCTCGACAAAATATTTTTTATCTCAGAAAGTATTAACTTTTAATATTTGAAAATTTAGAAAACAACTAAACAAGCAGCTCTATAAAATCATACATTACAGTTATTTTTTTCACCCTTATTTCTAAGAGTGAAATCACCTTAAAAAACAAATTATACTATTGCTTTCGAATTAAAAATTCATCATCAAATATATTACAGTCAAAATGTAAAACACGACTGAATATAAAAAATTAAATGAAGGAATACATAGGAAATAAAGTTATTACATATTGATCGTTTTACATAGAATATAGAAATAATTTATTTTAATAGGAGAGATTATTTGAAATTTGTTATTATTAGACAGATATGTTAAATAATATAAATTATTTGGTTATTATTTATTATCGGTTTGAATATTTAAAATATTATTAAAATTATTATTTTTTATTTCATTATGTATGTGTAATTCTTCTAAAACTGAATTAATGTAAATGTTATTTTGAGTATTTAATGTTTCTAAGTCTGTATTAATATCAACACTTATATTATGGTTTTATTTCTGAAACATGTTCAGCGAAATCTGAATTAGGGGTACTCTTTTTTTAAATTTAATTTTAGAAATGTGTTCTTTCAATCTTATTTTTAATTTTCTATTTAACATTATAGTAATTAATAATTTTTAATATATGTTAAGTAGCCGAATAATACATCAAGTGAACAGTGTATGTTGGTTGGTTTAATTTTAATGATTATAATTTATAATATTATATAGGTACATTTCGTTGAAGTCAAATAATAGTCGTTTACTATTTATATTAAATTTCAAATTACAACGATTCCCGCGCTTTATAATCTCTGTTGGGATTTCGGCAGCCGATAATCAAAAAGGTCTTGCCGCTTGCGATTCGGCTGTGTCTCAGTTTATCATACTTTCCAAGATAATGAGGGTACTTACCTACTTTATGGAACACCTGGTAACAATGCATACAATTTAGTCTATGTTAAATTTAATCATTCTTAAATATGAATATAACAAATTAAAAATAAAATTATCATTATTAAAATATTATTAAGTGATATTACTCTTAGTATAATAATAATAAGTAATAATATAACTTAATTTTTTTAGATTCGGCCGTTTTAAAATTTAATAATCTATTTTTCCATTTTTCATCAGTGTCATGTGGTGTATTTGTGCGGCCAGACAATGTGCTTATCTGAAATCAATCAAAAGAGATTATTTAGATTTGTCAACATTATTTATGTCATATTATAGTAAATTAATTAAATAGTCTTTATGTATTTTCTTTAATAATATTTGTTTTATGTTGTACTGATTTTCCCAGTTTTTCACATTTACTGGGGAAATTTGAAAATGACTCCTCTTAAGTACCCCAATAGTGAAATTTTGTTTCAGAAATATTGCTATCATTAAAAGTAAGAGCAAAATTGCTGGTAGAAAAGTTGTCCACAAGAAATAGATTGAAATGTTATATTAATTATATTTCGTAAGTTTTCCCATTTTTTTCTTTTTTTTCTTTCGGTTTCTCGCATTTAATAAGAGAACTCTTGAGAAAATCGAAAAACGACCTAACTAAAGTACCTTACCGGTGAAATTTTCTTTCAGAAACATTGTTGGAGGAAGATCTCTGATAGAATAGAGGTGCATAAAAAAAATAAATATTATAAGTTCTACTTAGAATCTAAAAGTATTTATTATAGCTTTCAAATTAAAATAATTGATATTAAACAATAGAAGTTCTTTTAATTAACTTCAATTAATTTGAGTAGAGTTGTACTTTTTTAAGTATTTTATATCATATTTTCTTTAGTGTTATATTGTGGTTACATGTTCACTCTTTCACTTTTTAGTTTTGTTAAATCGCAGATGTACACAGTTTATTAGTTTTGGACATTATGATCTTTTTAGACTATTTGTTATCGGCAAAATGAGTAAAGTACAGGATACATCTGAACTGGAGAAGCGAGTCAGTGTAAAAAAAAACCTAGAATGTTATGTAAAGAACAAGAGAAATTTGTGGAATAACCAGGAGCTGAAATTTGCAAGGTTGTTAAGTTTCCCCCAGAAACTAGCGAGTTAGTATATTTTTACATAATTATTGATTTATTAATATTAACTCAACTAATATGTATGCATGCGTACCTATGTATTTACAATTAAAATATTTTAATACAGTGGCGGCTCGTGGAATAGTTCACAGGCACCTAAAATTTTGAAAACTATACATTATTATGTAACTACAATATAAAATATAATTTTAATTATTATAAAATAAAATGTTTAGATTATAAACTAGAAATTTATTCATATTTATTTTAGAGACAAGAATAAAAATTATTTTATAGAATTTAAAAATATTTTATGTGAAAAGTCAAGAAAAATTAATGTTATAACAGATATGCCCGTTATACACAGTATGCAGCGATCACACGGAATATGGATGGGCAAATACATTTTTTACACCAGTTGCATATGCGCATTTGACCATTTCATTCCCACTACTAGCACAACTACTATTAGACTTAGTGGTGTGTTGATGTGTGGTGGCTGTGTAGCTGTCTGCCACTGTTGACTGAGAATATCATGCATTAAGAACTGATTATTTCTTTTGAATAATAAATTCATAAATAATATTATTTAATATGACAAAAACAAACATAATTACTTAATATATTGTAAATTTCTATCTATGAAACTCATATATAAAACAAATATATTCATATTTCAATAAAATATTTGTTTTAATTCTTGTTTTCTGAATTGACTGTACTTATTCAACTTATTTTATACAATTTTTTAAATGTGCACCATCAATTATTTTACACACTACCCGCTACTGGTTCAAATGTTATACATAGTTAATAATCTTTATAATTGTATGTTTTAGATATTTACATATTGGCCATGCCAAGGCAGCCCTTTTAAACCAACATTATCAAATGGCTTTTAATGGTAGACTAGTAATGCGTTTTGATGATACCAATCTTGCAAAAGAAAAAGAAGATTTTGAAAAGGTAAAATTATTTATTTCATGTTTACATTTGAATGCTTCATTATGTAAGAAATATTAATTTTCTATTGTAAAAGTATTATGAAAATAATATTTTAGACCATAACACCAATATGTTAATTAATACATGTTTTGTTTTAAATTTGTATTTATTGTTCTAGGTCATACTAGAAGATGTTGATATGTTAAAAATTAAACCAGACAATTTTACATATTCTTCAGATTATTTTGATGCCATGTTGTAGATGATACAGATGGGGAAAAAATGCGTGTAACAAATTGAATCTATTAATCGCAATAATTGTAAGTGCATTAAATTTATATATTAATTTTTCATAGAAAAGAAAACAATTATTATTTTATAAGGTATAAATAAAACATTTTTAACTAACTAAAACAATTCTTCATTTGTGTTTCAGCAATTGAAAAAAACCCTGAACTATGGAATCAAATGAAATTAGGTTCAGTGGTTGGTCAAATGTGTTGTGTTCGAGCAAAAATTGATATGACATCTGTAAATGGTTGTATGCGCGATCCTACTATTTACCGCTGCAAGCCTGAGCTACATCCCAGAACAGCCGATAAATACAAGTTAATAAATAATTAAATAATAATTGTAATAATAAAATTAGTATTTACCTATATGTTTTGTAATATATTTGTTAGGAAAATAAATTTTTAATAAATTAACCAGTTTAAATTGATTTTTTTTTAATAATTTATGGAATATATTTTTAAAAAAAAGTGCAAGTTTATTAAAGGAATTTAAATGTATCTTCTAAAAGACTCCTAAATAATAGTAATATTTACACTCATTACTCATGCTGTGACATATGCTGGTTTTAAAATAAATAGATCCTGATATCATACTAATAATTTATAATAATATATTTAGTAAAAGAACATATGTAATAAAAATATTGACCAATTGGTACGTATTTAATTAGTTAACAATAAATACAATTTTTAAATCTTAATAGAAGAAAAAACAATAGTAGACAATTTCATAAGCATTACATTTACTAAGAATACTCTAGATAATGTATGGCTTATAGTGTGTTATTATTTCATTAATAAGAGAATTATATGAATTTTAATTATTTCATTATGTAGAATGGTTCTGGAATCTACTTTAAATAAAAATAATATTCACTAATAATAACAAATTATTAGAAATATATTTAGTAAAATTTGTGTGTATTACATGGGAGTGATAAACTGGACAATTTTATGAAATATACAATAAAATTTAAATTTAATTAAAATTAACCAACTAACTTGTTTCAGTATGTATATGCTTTAACAATTTATAGGTTACAATTAATTGATTTTGATGTTTACAGAAAAAGTAACTAAATGTTTAAAATAAACCGCAATGTATAGTATGCAACTCTACTAAAACAATGAATATTATTATTATTATTATAAATATTTTAAAAGGGAATAATTAAAATTAATTCTTCTTTCATAGAGAAGTTTCAAATTAAAATTTCAAAAAGTTTGAAATATTACTGTAACCAAACTGTGAAGGTCTATCCATATTACATTTGTAGCAAATATATCTAAGAACATTTTTTTGAACTCTTCAATAAGGTCAATATTTTGAGATTCCTAAATGTTTTTTGCGTACTCCAACTAAGATCTAATGATAAAAGATAAATGATCACCTAGCAGGATATCAGAAATTACATTACTTAATTGGTTTATAAATATAGTTTTTAAATATTGCTGAGTTATTTGGGTGAGAAGTTGACAAGTTTAGATAAGTTTTGGAAGAATAGATATTTTGGATTCAAGGAGATTTTAATTCCAAAAAATCAAGAATGTTGTGAACAGCTGATGTATTATAATCGTGGACAAAACAACAGAGATAAATGTGAAAAAATTCTTGTGTGGCCATAAAAAAGTGGCCATAGATAGTCACCACTCTACCATATTTCCAATTAAATTTATAATAATACTTTGATATTTTTCTGTCATATATTATGTTTATTAAGTTTTATTTAGTCTTGAAAAAAAAAAAAAATATATTTAAATTATATCATTAAAATTTCATTTCTAATGAGTTCATGTCTCAATTAAGGTGCTTGTCTAGGGTAACTCTCCAATGATATAAGATACGAAAATTAAACTTTTAAAGTAACTATTGTAAGCAAACGTCTTAGGTATTATGGAAAATGTCTAATAAACTATAATAGCTAATATAAAATATTTTTCCTGATAACTGTGACTTATGTGATATCAGAGCAGCATTGTTGAAAATTCCTATGAGTTTATTTTAGGATACAAATTTGAAATCGTTTATCGCTGTTAATACCCGGCCTTATTACCTATACCTATCAAAATTTGGTTTGTTGAAACAACTTTTCAATACATTGTTTCTTATTAATACTATTATATTAGGATTCTCAAAAATCATATTATTTTCAATTGTTGTAGTGGGTATTGTATTGTTATCTTAATTTTGTATATTGTACAGATATTCTGATTTATAACTAAGACTAATGAAACGGCCCTATGAATACAATGGTCACAGATATAAAAAGGTCACAAAAGGTATATTACAGGAAACGGGTTACATTGTATACCCGTATACCTAGATATGTATTAAAATTTTCGAATAATGGCTTTTATTAAAACTAGCATTTATTTGTTGACTAATATATAAAAATTAAATTCGATACCGGCCAACTTTTCTTTTTTTCATATCACCTAATCCATAAATTTACAAACCTGACTATTTCCATCATTTATTTTAATGATTTTAACGGCTAGTCCAGAGTCACGTAGGTATAATATTGGTGTATTGGAGAGTGGATAATAATATAACAAAAGCCGGGCAACTTCGCACATGGTTGCCGCCACTGTTGTAGGTGAAAAATTATGTACAGAAGAGCCTTGATTTATCCGGATTATTGGATGTTTTTCAAGATTACCTACTCAAAAATCTAATATTTGTCTAACCTATAACCTGACCTTTACTATTAGTGAAACCGTCTTCCTGCTTTGTGATTTCACGGTATAATAAACGTGCTCTTTCGCAAATTATTTCATCACTTATTGGAATGTGTAGTCTTCGCTGTTGCATAAACCATATAAATAAAACATTTTCGAGAACAAGATTTTCCGGCTGTTTTACGTGTCCCTGGACCACGTTCAGTTGTGTTGACAAACTTCATAATTTTCTCATTGTTTTTTTTTTATGTTACCAACAGTCGATTTATCTATTCCGTAATTCTCAGCAATCATACCATAATTGTAGCCATTTTCTATTAACTTAAAGAATAATAATAAACACTCCACAAAAAAAGTGAATGAACTGACGATCGATTTATTACTAGGAACAATAGGTAATAAAAATGACGAAATTGTTTTTGTTGATAACAATATTTTATAGATTAATTGGCCATATTATGGTAAAATAATTACATATTATACATAATATATTTTCTTTAATGATATTTGTTTAATATTGTACCTGTTTTTACGTTTTTTCTACGGTTTCCCCATGTTTTTTCTGAATTTTTCTCATTTCTAGGGAAAATCAAAAAATGACCTCCCTAAGGTACTTCCCCACACCGATTTCCTTTTAGAAAAAATGCTACACTAAAAAATCTAAGCTAGATCTCTGGTAGAAAAATTGTCCACAAAAAATTTAATTTATAAACATCTTTGTAAAACCATATGCTTCTTCACTCCACACAGAAACTAAAACTTTAGTCAAAAAGAAGTTTTTTAATTTTTTATAGTATATTTTACCAGACATATAAAGGTAATACGTTTTAAAATGATACTAACATTTCACGTGACCAAAATTGAACATTTGAAATCCTCGTATCTCCGAATCCGTGTCCCAGTTCCCTTAGGTATTTAGAGGGCTTAAAGAAGGAATCAAAACCATTATTTCGGTGTATAGCTTGACACTGAACACATTCGGAAATGTGTTTGAAAACTGTACCTTTTATCATAATACGCGGCTGAAATTTGAATTTATTGAAAATTTAGTGCGCCGTTTTTTCCGAATTCATGCCTGGCTATACATGTTGCAAACACCTAATTTTATATTTATATAACGATTTAAAAAACCGATCAAATAAAGCTTTATCAATTTTGGTTGTATAATTTCTGTGTTTAGCTGTTTGAAACGTATTTGTGTAGAATATTACCTAATAGATCAATGTTTATTGGACACAAAATTGTTATCTAGTGTTACGATTTATATTATCCTGTACGTCTTGCTTTCGTAGTATTACTTCTTTAATTTGTATGCCATAGGCAACTGAATTACACGATGTCATGACAGTCATTTCTTATCAAAAAAGTCTCCCGACTTTGGTCCTCTAACTTCACACCTGTAAGATTTATTATTAAAAATCGGATCTCATTATTTCAATTTTGTTTATTTAATGTGCAAATTATATATAATTTTATTTTAAAATGTCAAAAAGTTTGTGGGGTATAGGGCAACCCCCACCCCGTGATACCCTATCGTAAATTATTTTAGCATTCTCAAGTTTTAGACTGAATGTAGGTCAATGCCGCACACCACAATAGGTTATATTTGAAATTCTTATACCCACATATAAAATTAATTAAATTATACTCAATATCGTAATATAAAATGTAATATTATAATTGATGTTTGAAAATTAAAATAGAAATTGTTAAACTTTATAACAATAACGCAACGTCTTACAATATAATTTGTCTTTATTGAATGATTTTAACCTTACAAATAAAAGAAAATAAAACAAAAATAAATGTATGACCTTGAAAGGCAACGCAGGTCGACCATTACGAATCATTACTCAAACACCCCGTTCGGACAACGCTCAGTCACCACCAAAGGTGCTGACTATAACGTCATCTAGCGGAGTTAACAGTCGACCCTCCCACTGTTGTCCTCAACAGTCAATAACATTATTAACTTATTTTTAAATAATTACACATTTTAATGTCTCAAATAGTAGGATGCTAAAAAAAAATTACAACGGCTTTAAGTAACAGGTTATTTCCAGTTTACAGAAACATCAGGAAAAAAAAAAATTAATAATATTTGAAGAAATATAAAACCATAAATAAACCTAAGTACAGTGGCATCACTTTTTTTTATAATTTATAATATAAAAATTAATTGGGCAAATGTCCTGTACATTTTTAATCACGCGTTTTCTATATAAATAATATAGAATAAAGGTTACGAAGTAAATTATAGGTACATTGTGATACAAATTATACATAATTGTAGTTTCTCGATTCTTCTGTTTGAGATTACCCAGTTAAATCTTATAACATATTTAATATAGTATTCTATGATACAATTTACTTTTAGTGATAGGTACACTGATAAGATGTAATCAAGGGTTTAATCTGTGATTTCAAACTAATTTTGTGCCTTTCAAATTTCAAATTGTGTAGTTTTTGATTGATTTTTTTAATTTTTGCTAATAATGTCTACATCATACATTAAAAATTACTTTTCGGTGATTTAATGTAGTAATAACAGAAAAAAAAATTAAAATAAATAACCAAAGTGAAACACCTGTATCGTTGTTCAACTAAAAATCAAGATTAATTTATGGGTTTCATATTTTTGATTTTGTTTTAGGTTAGACTTAATGGATTGCCTTCAATATCAATTGAATAGACATATTAAATTAAATGTTGAGGAAATTATTGATGAACTGACAAAAAAACCAAGAAAACTGGAATTACTGTAAAAAATACAATATAATTAATTATGAATTGAGATACCAATAAACGTTTTTTTTTTTATACTGATGATAAATATTTATATCACCCCCCCCCCAAAAAAAAAAAATTTCGTAGTTATGCCACAAGTAGATACAAATTATCATTTATTATAATCTAATTGATTACGTCGGGACAAATTAACGTATAGTAAAATTTATTGTAATCGTCTAAAAAAAAGATCTTACTGTCGTATCGTCCTAGCAATATTCAACAAAATATAAAAATGTGAATGATGCAATAAATCAAAATTTTGATTTATTAATTGTATTTCGACGCTTTAAAACTTCTATAATACGTCTTTTTTTTTTTTTAATAATCTCAGTCCGACTGCGGTCTGAGTGAAAAAATGGCGATGCGCACATTTTTCTTTTTACAATTCATCATTATTCGTTTCACTGGTGGATACCGGATCGTTCCACCACTGAATCGACGCTGAAGCTAACATGACGTAAATTATATTCGTTGCTATAACTACGCCACCGCTGATCCAAAACACATTTCGCCATTCCAATAAAGTGTTGTCTGGTATGAGGAATCCGATGAGAGGTGGGGAAACAATTCCGGCAACTGCTCCGACTCCGTTCACCAAAGCCATCGCGGGACCCGCGTAATTTGGACTTAAATCCATTACGTTCACTTTCATGCTCGAATAAAAAAATCCCATGGTAGCCATGCCTATAGTGAACAACGCCACTACTTTTGCCTTGTCACAGCCCGCGTACGACGCCGCCAACGTGCCCAACATGGGTCCAATACAAGCTATTGTTGTAAACAATCTTCTTTGTTGTAATATTTCTAATTTGTCGTTAGTTATCAAGTAGTCACTTAACCATCCTGTTAATATGGCGAAAATCCACGACAACAAGTGCGGCATCGAACTCCATACGCCTGTTTCTGCGATGGAAAATTTCATAACGCTCTTCATGTACTTTGGCAAATCAGCATTTATCATGAACAGAGCCCAGTCATGTCCTATTTGACCGATCATCAAACCCCACATTGGACCCGACGACAACATGGCCAACCACGGTGTGGATTGTAGTTTATTCTTATTTGTATTCACTCCTTTCAGATGATGTTCTAAGTAGTCAAGTTCTTGTTCGGATATTGTGGGATGTTCGTTAGGTGTGTTATAGACCAAGAAATTCCAGAACACGTACCAAACCACCGCCACAACTCCGGATGCGTAAAACACCAAAGGCCAATCGTTATCGGTTATCTTAAGCAGATATCCGGCTGAACTTTGAGCGACAATCGTACCGATCATAACACCTGCGAATACAAATGATCCAATACGCGATCGTTCGCTTACTGGCACCCATTGAGCCAATAAAGCGTTCATCGCTGGAAAAGTAGGGCCTTCGCATATACCTTCCAATACCCTGACGCCAATCATGTAACCGGGCCCGATTCTGGCGGCTAGTGGCGTCAATAAAGTGAACACTGCCGTCAGAAAAATACTGACACCGAACACGTGTTTTCCTCCGTATTTCTGTGCAAGCATACCACCCGGTATTTGAGCGAATACGTAACCGTAATAGAAAGCACCGAGGATATGCCCTTGAAGGGTTTCAGACCAATAGAATTCGGCGTTTATGTTCGTAGTATTCTTCATTTTTAAAAGTCCCGGACATCCGTTAGGATCTATAACCGTTTTATGGATGTCTGTTACCATTTCCGTGATAGCTACGCTGAGCACCGATCTCATGGCATATGCATTGGCGACCCCTATAAATCCCATGATTGCGATTATATACCTTTTTGAAGTGACACTGTCTTTAACTGACTTCGCCATCGCAGGCATACTAGTTTTTGAATCCATTATTTTTTTTTTTTTAACGACCGATAACAACGGTAACCACAACCACGATTACGACTGATAATGGACAACGGTTACCACGACCAGGGTTACGACCGATAATGGACAACCAACGAAGTTTGAGGTTAACTAACGTGGTTTACATCCGCGCCAATTAATGACCCGCTTTCAGACAACAATAATTCCGGCACGTGACGTAAATACCGCGACGTAAATACCGCGACGTAAATTTAGCGACGACAACGGACGCGGTGGACTTATCGTCAACGAACAAACCAACGGATATACGCACTACGCATGAACGGATCGATATCCCACTTTTGAATTTATGTTAAACTTTATAACAATAACGCAACGTCTTATAATGATGATAATAATAATAATCTTATAATAATTTTTCTTTATTGAACGATTTCGACTTTGCAAAAAAAAAAAAAAATAAAACAAAAATAAAACGAAAATAAATGTATAACCCCGCAAGGCGGCGCAGCTGGACCAACACAAACAGACGTTCACGCGCTACTAGGGATGACAACGATATATCGAAAATATCAATACATGAAATCGATATACCGAGATATTGTACATCGATACAACCTTACCGATATATCGACTCGATATTATCGAGTCTTTCGATATTTTAATATGATAAATCGTCGGGAAACCGATTAATATCTTTGTTTACTGTTTATACATTACACGGTACAATTTGCACTTCACTCGTTAACTATATCGAAAGTCGGTATACAAAAAAAAAATAATAGGTACTTATATTGTATATTGTGACGGCCGTACGGGTATCCTCAATTAAGTATCGATTACAAGTTATGGTCTTATGGTTATAAGTTTTATTAAAATAAATTATAACCTATCAACTATGTGCGAGTCTTTAAACCATATTTAGCTTTAAAAAAAATTTTCCGATATATATCGATAAAATAACGGTCGATATTGGGTTTGTGATGATCGAAATTACGATATATCAATGGTCAACGATTTTTTGCAATACCTAGCTACTACTCAGACGGGGTGTTCGGACAACGCTCAGCCACCACTAAAGGTGCTGAATATAACGCCATCTGGCGAAGTTAACCAAATATAAAAGTAATAAAGTGTTTGAGAGTAATATTGTAGTCGGAGGATTTTTTTTTCCAGGGATTTTTATTTCGATTACCATTTATTAGTGATTTAATAGTGTAGATTCTAGTGAAGTACTTAGGTACCTACATATTTATTAGATACCTATGTTTAAACACAATATTATGTATTAACGAAGTAATGAAGTGTTATCTTAGAAAGTGCCCTATTAATTACTTTATTTATTATGAGTTATGACTTATGACATTATAACGATAGTTAAAAGTTGTATAGAAATTGTACAAAATAGACAATCAAAGTTGTGACTTGTTATTATTATTTTTTTATTTAAGTCAATTAACTCAAAGTAAACCAATGTATAGTCACTAAAATATTTATAACGCGTATAGAAATTTAGGTTTATTTTTGGTAATTTATAGATTACCTATTTTATGAATAAAATCCGTACATCTGTTTTTTTGTTGATGAAAAATTGCTCATGACCTTTTTATTGAAGTCTATTTATCTTCCGCAATCATTTCACTTTCAATACTAAGCTACACTGTGCATACCTCTCGAAACATGTTATACCAGTTAGTGACACACTCATTGCTTCTTCCTGTTCGATCCATTACCATTTGTGTGGGCAATTCCAATACAAACATAAATACAAGTTCAAGAATTTCAGAAAGTGTTCACCCAGTGCTGCTATGTTGATTCAAGTCAGTCAAATGGAAAAAAAGCTGTAAACAGCTCGTGTCAATCTTGTTGCCTAACAGCCTCTTTTTGGACACCGAAACCTGGTCAACCACTCTCCATTACGGCATTTCTTTCGTTTTATCTGAATTTCTGTGCCGCATTTAAGACAAGAAGTGTTGTCTTCAAAATTGTTTCAATAATCCTTTTTTTACTAAAATTCGATTACACACGATCTCATTTAGCACTACTGCAGAATGAAACTCACGAACTGTCATCACAGCCATCACAATTAATAAATAATACACAAAAAAATAAAATACTCATAATGAATAACCTCCGGGAGCTACGTAACTGAAAACTGAGTGTAGAACGGCAAAACCTGTTGAGCGCATTTCGAATTAGCATCATTAATTGTAGGAATAATTCTTTTTAATAAACGAAAATCATCATGGCTATAAATAACTTCAAGTTCAGTTTTCAAGCATTCTTTTATAAAAAAGGATAACAATTTAAAGTTTGTTGTAAATAATCAATTTGGAAATTTGTTGTTAAATGTTGTATTATATTCATTTTGAAAAAGTAATGCTATAGTTAGATATTCATTAAAACTAAAACGATATTTTGCTTGAATTAGTTATGAAAACATCACATATAATTCTAAAGCAATAATTATTTAAGTAATACTCGGATCTTCGCTAGTTTTTCTTTTATTTGAATGTATTATATCATATTGATTTAAAACTATTGAACGAATTCATGACATATTATCACAAATTTTACTTACCTATTTCAATCATATTTTTACTGAATTGTTTACTTGAACAAGGTTTGCTTTCCTAGCTTGGCTAGAACTATATAAATAGTCAACCTATATGACATAATTTTATGAAAAATAGTCAATCAAAATATGAAATCAATGTCTTCTAGAAGTCTTTTAATACCAGTAGCTTGATTAATTGTTTTAGCTTGTAAAGATATTACAATTATTTTATTCATTCAAATTGTCAATTCTTCTCTGTGTTCAAAAGAAGTATTAACAGTTCTTTTATTCAAATTCTATAATCTGTACTGTTCTTGTCTAACGAACATCGATTACTTCATCTAACACTGATGATACCTTCTGTAGTGAATGAGAAAAAAATACTCTGGTATTTCGGATAAATTTAAAAAATATATATGAAATTTCTTATTTTTTGAAATTAATTGTAGGTATCGCTATGAGTTTCAATTGGTGAGCGTAGCAATGAATTAAATAAGGCGAATGGGTACTTTTCTCTCTAACCTTCACATTAACACCAGCTTTTTGACCACTCATAACAGCTGTACTATTGTATGACTACTAAGCAACCAATTTATTAGGTGATTTTTCTAGAAGAAGATCAATTATTAAACCAAAAATAGTTTGTGATAACTGATAATGTTTCGGCTAGCTAGTTATAATATTATACATCAATAATATAATATTTTAAAATGTAAATAAAAGGACATTTAAATAGGTGAAAATTTGGAATCGAAGTACAAAGGTACTTCTACATAAGATAAGGAAAGGAAACTCTCAGAATAGGTTGAACATTTGAAACCTCATAGCTATAAATTGTAGACATACTTCACACTAGGTATGGAAAACCGGCTAACCACTGTTGTGGGTGAGAATTCGTTCTCATTAATTATTAATAATAATATTATGGTTATAAACTAGGTTCTAGGTAGAATATAATTAGTGTCAAGGAATATAACGACTACAGGATTGTCATAATCGTGTTAGGAATTAAGATTAAAGAAAATGTCACATGTAGCCGCCCCTTCACTTCTTAGAATACTCGATTTTTTACTGTTTATAATTAGTATGAATTTGTACCTATGCAACTTGATCAACGAGAAAAATTAATTTTTGTGCGATTTGGGGGGCTGGGGTAACGTAATTTAGAAGGCATGTAAGTCTTAATTTTATTAATTAATTGTTTATTTGTGGTCAGCTAATCTAATTTCGTTTTTTCTCTAACCCAAAATTCAAAAAAAATTTTGTCAATTTAGGAGGAACTTATTCATAATATAATATATACTAGTATGGGGTGTTTCATTAAGAACACTCGATTTTATTTTATTTCTTTAATAAAAAAAAATACTAAGAACGAAACAATTATATGAACAGTTATGTAGTATACTTCACACTTCGATTTATGTAAGTATGGAATATAATATTTGGCATATGTCCACCACAGTTGCTTAGCTGGCAAGCTTCAGTTCTGGTCACAAAATTACCTATCACTCGGTAATATATATCCTGATTCAGTTCACTAATAACACGACGAATTTCATCTTTAATACTAGTTAGCAGCTTATTTTCATATAGACATGAGCTTTGACGTAACCTCAAAGAAAGAAGCGAGTTAAGTTATACGACCTGGGAGGCTAGTTTTGATCACCACATTGTGAAAGAAGTCAACCTTTAAAAGACGCGTAGGGGTTGTAACATCTTGCACTCAGCCAGTTTCATCAAATTTAGTCATCAGTCGACGAACTGTTGACTCATTAGGCACCTCATTTCAACCTTTGATCCTTCAAAAATGACAATAAAATGTCTGCTGCTCGACCAAAACGCGTTCTAAAATACTAAGTCACATCATGGTTATATAAACAAAATAAACTAAAAACGTTCACAGTATCTTATTGCGGAAAGATAAATGATATTACACACAAAACAAAAATGTCTGAACAATTTAAATACGGCGTTCTTAATGAATAAATGAAACATCCTTACTAATACTAAATAAAAAATACTATTACTAATACTAAAAATTCAAAACTTGTGCAATTTATGTATGATGTTTGGAGAGATTTTAAATAATTAAGTGTCATATAAAAACGAGAAAAACATTGTTGGGCTATAGCAGATACCTACTTGCTACATACTATATATCCTTATATAAATTTCTAAAAAAATTAATAATCATAACATCATACAAATAATAATGTTATAGACTTTATATCATATAAACTTATTTCCAAGACATTGAGATTAAATTTACTGTTTATAGGATGTTGATAAGTAAACATAAAAATACCTAGCCCAACATGAAAACAGGTACACAATGTTTTACAAACATTTGTGGGCGCTGTTACCATTGAAACTTTAATCATTAAAGACATAGTAGGTAAATTATGAAAATTCTTTTTATTATATTTATTTTAATTATTTGAACACTAAAAATTAATGAGTGACCTATTCAACAAAAAAAGGCAATTAATGATAAAAATTATAACAAAAGTATTATTACTCATTTTAAATTTACCTATATTTAGAATAATTTTGGATAATAATTTGTCTAATTAATATAATTTGTAAAATACTTATTTCTAGCTTTTTCATTACTTATAAAGTAGATACTTACTTACTGTCAAGGATGGGCAAGATACTAAAAAAAGTATCTAGATACATTAATATTTACTTCTAGATACAAGATATGTTCCACATTTTCCAAAAGATACTAGATACATTAATAATAAAAACATATAGTATGTTATAGTACTTATACTAAGATGTCAGATTTTAACTTATTTTTAATGAAATAAAAAATAAAAACATTACACATATTGTGAAAAAAAAAACTTTATTATTATTATTAAACTAAATATGAAAATCAGAATATATATTAAAAAGGTAACTATTGTATTGTAACTATTGTAAATTGAAAAGATAAATGAATCATGATTTGTATCCAGTATCTAGAATCTTTACAAAAAAGAAATATACAAGACACCAAAAAAAGGTATCTAGATACAAGATACTAGATACAATTAATTAACTTTAAAAGATACAAGATACATCCATCTTAGATATTACTCAATGCCCATTCATGCTTACTGTATACAAACAGATACAGTAATAAGTAAACTCTTGTTATGATGAACTCTTGATTGTTCATTATCTTGAAACTATTTCCCTTTGAATAATTTACTGTTTTCTATAGATTTACTATATTATATAGTACCTACTAGGAAAATGAAACAATAAAAATATGTAGATATTTGCATGTAATGAATTCAAAAGTTCAATACACAGTTGTGAATCGTAAAAAAAAACATTTATATTTATTATAATAATAATCTTAAATAATATCTACTTAAATTTCATGATATATTCTTTCTTTTTATTGTAGATTATTCTTAAGTATACAACTGTTAAACAAAGCTTCTTTAATTGTTTGAGACATTAATCCACATAATATTTCAGTTGTAGCTTTATTGCTATCTTTGGTAGCTTTTTCCAATTTGTTTTCTTTTGATCGATCCACAGGATCAACAGGTGCACGAATCAAAGAAGTTTCAGCTTGCTCCAGTTTATCAGAAAGATCATTAATCTGACCAGTTAAGTAATCCGCATTGGTAATTAAACTAGATGAACTTAATGTTTTGACCCAATATTTATTCCACAAGGAATCCAACAAACGCCGATCTAATGAAGATTTAAAATAGTTTACTTCCAATGAGTAGTATTGTTTACAATGCACTCCAAAGTCATCAGTTTTATTTAAGGGAATAGTTTGATACTCAGCCGGTTCTTTATATGCAGGCTTATAACCCTATATGTTATAATGTTATATTAATTAAATAATATTACAATAGATATAATAAAAAAATTACCTTAGGATAAGTTCGAAAAGCTCCCAAACAAACTTTACCAGCAGAAATTGTTCTAACTGGATCAATTACAATCGCTACAAATGGTTCTTGAAAATTTTGATTCAACATTTGTGTTGAAACATCAATACCTGATAACCAGCATCCATAACCAGGGTGACTATGATACCAACCAATTGCATTTTCTAGACGCCCAACCTAAAAAATAAATCAATGTTCAATTAATTGAAAAAATAATATAATAATAATTTATCTTCATAAAGCTAATGTTGAAAAACAAAATAATTAGAATTTTAACATTTTCTTTTATTATTATGCGAACAATTACTATAAATATTGCTAGTCTAAGTAGAAGTCTAAACGATGAGAAATAAAATAAATAAGTGGGCATGGTCATGGTTTTGACATCACTCCATACAATGCTTATACAATTGTTAACTCTCATAATTTATTAAATATTTTATACTCATAATAATAATAGAAAAACCTATTTAGTATGTTTAAAAATATTTTGTTCTACTCTGTTCAAATACTACTGTATGTATACCGAATATAGTATTTTTTTAATGTAATTATTTTATAATTGAGTGAAACTATATTTACTAAAACTAATAATTACAATTTCCCAGACCCCTAATCAGGGGAGAAGGGAGCATTTCCTCTCCAGATCAGTTTGTTGCCACCTTTAGCATTTTTCTAAGACAACAATTTTCGAACAAATCATTATATTGGGAAAAAAGAGTACATTAATAAAGTGATAATAGAAGCTGTTTCTAACATATTCTAATATATGATAATTTTAAATTATTCAAGGATCTATTAATATCCCTTCAAAAGAAGAAACAATCTGTATAAAAAAGTATTTAAAAGAAAATAATATTTCTAAAAAGGACATATTAATAGTTGTATAAACAACATAAAGCATTTAAAACTACATTTAAAATAATAGCAGCAGTTAATGTATTTCAATGAATGAAGCTCAGCAGCTTATGAATCAACATTTTCTTGTTTAACTTAAATTTAAAATCCACAAAGGCAATCAAAGAAACATAAAAAAACTTTCAAACTTGGCTTAAATGATGTTTGAGTCCAAACAAACTGAAAACTTAAACATAGAATAAATGTTAATGGATTTCAACAACCAAAAAAATAGAAAATTACCGTTGTAATTAATTCATAACTCATAAATAGAGGCCGGAATAATATTTTTTTACATATTTTTTTTGAGTATATGCAACTAGACAGGAGATTGAAATCTTAAAAACCAATGGCAACTTACTTTTTTTGCATATTTCAAAATTGTTTGTGTAAGTGAAATAGAATATTAGAGAATATTATATCGATTCATTTTATGGATTTTGATATTTTGAAAATGGAGATATAATAAAAATAAAATCAACAGCTTATAATTTTGAAAAAAGAAGCAAAAGTTTTGAATGGAGATAATGAAGTACAACTTAAACATTATTCAAATATGAGAAATATGTTCGGTTTAAAAATACAATGATCAGCCCATATATTTCTTTATTTTAATTTGCTTAATACATTGTGAAAAATGATTTTTTTTTTTATGAAACTTGGTATGATATATAATTATGATAATGAATGAAAAATATATAATTTCGATAAACATTTAAATTATGGTATTTTTGAACCTGGAGAGTGGTAGTAATAGAGTGAATTTAAGCCTGGACATGTTTTATATATTTAAAACAAATATAAACATTTAAAAACCACACTAAATTCCTGTAAGGTATTTTGAATTTTATTATATTCCAAAATTTGAAAAAGTAAGTTGAACTAAGGTTTTTGTGTGAATTTAATAATTAAATCAATAATATACATAAAGTATAAACTTACTACTTTAGCAGCATCAATGTATGAAGCCATATATTCATATGCTTGCGCCTGAGCATTGACTCTGGTTTCTGTTCCTTCGACAGGTAAAGCAAAAGAATCCATAACAATCATGGTATTGTTTTCTACTTTTCCAAGTAACAAGCCCATTATTTCCAAAACACCACCAGATCGAGCATGCATTACCATTTTCAATAGAGCTAATGCTGATATTTTTATATCTTTAAAATAGTGTGGACTGTAAAAATTAATATTAAATTCATTATTTATTGTAATAAAATATTATAATAGATAACTGTTTCTAATAGTATAGGCAATTTAAGAACTTGTTTTGTTTTTATTTCAAATATATTATAATTGACAATCAATATATATATTACTAAAAACAAAAGGACATACTTCACATAATGGGTAGGCTCTGTTGTAATTAAAAATTTGAAATGGTAGAGAAGAAATTTAATGTATATCTGTACACAACTATTAACCATTACTAATGAAAAACAATACTGAACAGAGTTCAGTTATACCTACATGTTTTGAAAGGCTGTAATATTTATGATTGGAAAATAATACATTACATACATTTTTCTGTTTATTACTGGTTTTTATCATTTATTATGAACTCCTAAAAAAATTAAAAAATGACCTCCTAAAGCAGCGTTTCCCAAATGGTGTGCCCCGAAATATCATGATTATTAATAAAACGTTTACGTAAAATTCCGATAATAGCTTAAAATATGTTTAACGATTCTCTTAAAGGCGATTGTTATAATCGATATTAAAAATCACCATAGTCTTAAGCTACAGTACTCTAAATTAGTTGAAGACACTGAGACAGAGTCAAAGTTGAAAAAAATCAAAATAAATGTAGATATCTCATCTTTTTGGATACATCTGTTAAATGAGTATCCCAAGATTTCAAGGAAAGCTTTGAATGCTATCCTGTCATTTTCTACATACTATATTTGTAAAGCAGCATTCTCTTCAATGAATGCCATTAAAACCAAAAATCGATCACAATTGAAGAATTTAAGAGGATGATATGAGGGTATGCTTGTCAACCATTTGACCACGAATAAAACTTATAATGAAGGGAAACCAGGCACAAATTTCTCATTAGGATTAAATTTAAATAAACTAATCTTAACATATATGTTTTTCCAAATCATTAAATTTAACATTTTAAATAAATTGAAATATGATTTTACATGCATTTTCATAACCTAAATAAACACATTTTAAATTATTTAGTAGTAATTCACTGATTTACAACTATTTTGGTATAAATATGGTAAAATCCTAATATAAAAAATACAAAAATATATACATATAAAAGTCAGTATCAAGTGTGCTAGTTAAATATAGGTTAGAATTGGTGTGCTGTGAGGGAAAAAGCTTGGAAAACGCTGTTCTAAAGTATCACTCCAGTTCAATTTCTTTTCAGAAAAAGTGTTCCACTCAAAAATTGGAGCAAAATTTCTAGTAAAAAAGTTGCTCACAGATAAAAAAAAATAAAACCAATACATTTCTTGCTCTGCTTGGAAAAAAAATACCTATCATTCAAAATTATCATAAACTCACAAAAATGATAATTAGAGGATTTAAAACTAGACATAATTGATAGAATCTATGGAAACATACTCTTTTTCCCAAGGTTTAGCAGTCAAAATATCTTGCTGTTGTTGTTTGTCATATTTAAATATATCATCAATTATGTTAACAAATTGCACATTGTTTTCCAATTCCCATGTCTTCATAGCAATCATTTCTTGGGAATCTCTTGAAGTTGATGCCATATTGATAATTACCTAAGAGTATAAATGACAATTAAATAACCACATAACTATACAAACTAAGAAAATCAATGATGTAACCATTACTTTACAAACAAATATTGAAAAATATTCACAAAGGAAAATTACTACTTTGTGAGTAAAAGTAATTCTATAATGTAAAATAGGTACCTATTGTAGTTGAATAGAATTTAATTATTTTTTAACTACCTTTAACTAAGCCAGGTAATAAAATATTATTCACGAAAAACAATCACTATTGAGTATTGACTACTATTAATTATTAAACTCGTGACAAAATAAACTTTGTAAAAATAAATTCTGTCATGAACAAACCCATAGAAAAAGATTAAACTAATTAAAAACTAATCTAAGACCGTGTTAAAAAGAGTCCATACATAACCTAACCATAGAGTATTTTATGGTATTATCATAGAAAAATATTATCATTTAACATTTTACTATCCATGAATTTTATAAATTGTGCTACTGTGATGCTACCTATTGGAGATGAGTAGGAACATTGAGATCATAGTCTTTTTAAACTTGTATAACCGAACTTCGCTCTGAATCGTTTTTTGTTAGCAATGATTAATCATTGCGAACCTATATACATTAAATTATCTTCTATATTTTATTATCCCAACTTCTCACCTACAACAATGACCCACTCATCGTGCGGAGTATGTCCGTCTTGTGTATACCTATTTGTTTTGGGAATTATGAATTACTTATTACGATCTGTTGTAAAGATGTCTCTTCCGAATTCGTATACATAGTCACGCAAATGAGAAGAAGTAGATAATTTTATTTTGGGCATTATTAAACACAATTTAACGCAATATTATTAAACACAATTTAACGCAATATTATTAAACACAATTTAACGCAATATTAATTAACACAATTTAACATAAAAAAATTAATACCAAATAGGACAGTCGACCGTGATGTAATACAAACTGACATATTATTTGTTATTTGTCCGAGTACGGGTGACGCTCTACAGTCAATAATAAAGATGAGATAAAAATTAAATCAAAATAAATCGAATGGTTGACAATGTGTATGGAAAAACCCGAAAATCTATTAAATGAAAACAACTTAAATATTAAGAAAACAATTTATGTTTAGATAATATTTTAATATTTTTAAATTTCTATTGTTTCATGAACATATATGTATTAAAACAACAAAATAACTCAATAACGCTAAATAAATATTGAATTTATATTAATAATGGATTAATATTAATTAATCTACCTTGATATATAGATTATATGTTATTAATTATCGTGTAAATCTATATGGCTAATACAAAAACTACCTACTAACATGAATTAAGATATACTTAAGTATATTTGAATTCGTAACTACTAATAGTGTTTTAAGTGAAAATCTAATAGATAAAATCAAATTACTGTAGTTGAAAAAACCCGCCAGTTAAAAATACAGAAGAGGGAAATGGGAAAAATCACGTCGAGAGGTTACATTCCATGTGTTCCTTAATTCATCTCTGATGGTATTGGTCTTGTTCCTTTTTAAATTCAAAAATCTCTGATGGCATCAAAGATGGATTTATCACTCACCGTGTTTTCGAGTCAGTTAATTAAATCGAGTGTGGTGGACTAGATGTATTTATCTCACTTTTTTTTTTAGCGATAACCGATACCAGTTATAACATTTAATTGATTTAGGTTTCATGATAACACTGTTTAAAATGATGTTTTTTTTAAATACTTTATGGTACCATCAGTGATGCCATCTCGGATGAATTAAGGAACACTTTAAATTAAAAAAGTTGATAATGCACGAAAATCATAATACAAAATTATGGTATTATATTTTGAAATAGTTGGCTATAGTAAAATATTGTACTAGCCCCTTACACAGTTATCTGTATTATAATATAGATATCTGTGGCCCCTTATTAATTTATTATCTGACAATTAGCAATATGACAAGGAAGGCGGTTTTTAACATTGAAAAATAACGTAGGTACCTTATTTGTTTAATTTGCTAAATATCTCGATTTTGAATTTTACTTGTTAACTATAAAAATCATAGATATAAACTAATTTTTGTTCTGAAAATTTACATTAAAATCAAAATTTTAATTTGTTATGAATTGTAAAGATTTTTCATTTATGCTGACAGAGATGAATCGCAAAAATCTTCTCTTTCAAAATATAGAGTGGAAAATAGACTGATACAATAGTAGGTACCTAGGTATATTATTTTTTCCCTGGTGTAGGTGTATGCTACTATGACATAATTTTCATCAACTGAAAAAAAAAAACACAAAAAAGTACCTAATATTATATTATTTTCATCTAAACTATTGTCGTTCACAAATAATTTACAAACATGCTATTGTCGTATTTGATTTCGAATTATTTTCCATGAAACTATCCATTGAATAGTAGATTATTTACAAATTAGTATGGAGGTATTATCATTCTCCATGGACATTTAGTAATTTAACTATAATTTATTAAATCTACAAAAATAACTCATTCATTTGAAAACTAAAATGATTATAGCAAAATAGATGTATTATATATTATATATTTTTGCTATATAAATGTGTATTAGAAAACAATTACTGGAATTAAAATTGCATAAGTATTTACTTGTGGGTTAATTAGTACTATTCCCACAATAATTTTAGCAAGCCAAGTCAAAACTATAGATAGAAAACGAATAGAAAGCTACTTTAATTCAAATTTGGAAGTATATAATACATAGTATTTACATTATTTTTCAGGAATTGAACAGGTAACACAAATTTCATGATTTTGGAAACAGCTGTGTAATGAACAATGGAATACGCAACACCTACAATGGTCACTCAAAACTGACTCATCAGCTGTCATGAAAATGAAAAAATAAAAATGACATTATTTCCATTCAAGATATCATAGATACTCAAAACATAAAAAAAATCAATCATATAATATTATTTATTCACACGGAATTGCTGGTGTAAATTGTTTTTTAACAAAACACTAACATATTTTTGACATATATAGATAAAATAAAATAATTTATACAAATTAGGGAATTTCTAATACAAAATGGTAGTTACAAGTGCTACACAGTTTCAATCGGCTTATTTGTTGTGTTTTAATGTTTTAATTATCAGATTTTATACACTACTTCACAAGTCACAGTTAACTGCAATTAACATTTTACAATAAACATTCACAAAACTGTTTTTTGTACCTAAACATAAATTTCATAATTTAACTTAATAAGTGATAAATAAACTGCCCTTGTCTTTTTACCTGATAGCATTGATAGTGTAGTATTGTTTATGATATATTTTAACTGAAATAAAATGTTAAATATTATGAGTAAATATAAAAATCACAATGTGGTAAATATTTAATTGTTTAGAGAATATATTATATAATTGCATAATAACCAAACATTAATTTAATCATATTAACAGTGTATAAGTGTAACAATAAGATCAACAGACTATTTACATTTAAAGAAAATAACATTGCAAACATTTCAATAATTATTATTTTGTATTCACAATAAATTTCAAAAATAATGAAGTGCACAATTATTAGTTTTAAACTTTAACAATATGTATAATAGCTATCAATTAAAAAATATAATCTTTCAATTTGGAGTAAATAATACATTTGAAAAATATTTGACATTCTGTACTAAATGTTAAATTTTGTCTCATCATAATAAACTTTGATCAAAAATTAGTTAACTTATGTAAAATGTTCTTTATTAATATGGTAAAAATATGAATTTAATTCTGAATACAAATAATGTTTAAAATTTAGACATTAACATTAAAAAAAGAAAAGGTATCATTGTTATTTTACAAACATTTACCACCTTCTGAAATAACTTGGACAAATTTAAACTTTAGTGAAAAATTTATAAAATCATATCAAAACAATTAATCATAGATTCTCTTCCTTGACCAACTCCAACCCAATTAACTGAAAAAAAATTGACTTATAAATATGAGATTAAAATATTATTGACAACATTAATAAATTACCGGGTACTTCAAGGAGTTCAGAAATTGTAAAAACAAATTTCTTAGCATTTTCTGGTAAATTTTCGAAGTTTCTGACATCACTTATATTTGTTTTCCAACCAGGTAAAGTCAAGTATTTAACCTAAGTATTAATATTACTTATAATAATACAAATTATAAGTATTATCTATATAAAAACTAATCTAAATAATAGTTTGGTTTATACCTCAACAGCTGATAATTCAGATAAACTGGATGGATAATAATTGAGCACTTTTCCATTCAACACATATTCAACACCGATTTTAACTTCACTAAAATCATCCAATATGTCAAGTTTGGTCAGACAAATTCTAAAAATAAAATAACATTTATTAAATTATAACATTTTTTATAAGTTGAAATATTTCCTTAAATTGCTATTTCCTCTATTGTAACCAGTTTTAATTTTTATTAAAAAGTTAAATGTAATATAAGTAAAAAAAGTAAATAGGAAAAAATAACAATTTACAGTGAAACCTCCTTTAACAGACACTTCCCAATAGCGTGTTTTGGGACAGGAAATTTTCACTACTTTTCAATGGAAAAACCTCCTATTTGGAAAATCACACTATTTTAATCTTAATTAAAAAATAGTGACAAAATGACAGTATCAAAATTGCATTGGTATACACTCTCGTAATAATGTAATGATTATGACAAAAATTATGTCTTGATTGCTAATGTTTCATTTGTTTTGCAAGTCAGTGAAAATTTTTTCGACAAGTGATGAATGGGCTTTGGCAAAAGAGGTCCCATCCAAAAAAAAGTCGAAATTCATAACTTCCATCATAACAATGAAAAAGTTTTCTAGCAGAAGTCAAAAAAAATCATAATTACATTTGTACAATAACAATTATAATTTAATTTACCATAGCGCAAATGTTTTCATTTTACACATTATTTATACTTTATGAATTTCAAAAATTTACCCCTTTGAATAACGGACAAAAATTTGAGGACCGATAGTGTTCACTATTCAGAGGTTTCACTCTACTGTAATATTGATAATTATATACTTGGTATAACCGTTCACCATCGTAGTATATTTTAACAGAGGAATATCCAACCAACCGCAGCGACGCTTTCGCTTAGTTGTAACACCAATTTCATTGCCAATATTCTGAAGCTTTTCACCAACTTCCTAAATAAATTCAATAAAAATAAAATATAACAAATCTTGTAATTTATATACTTCTATATTAATTTACTCACATTGATTAATTCAGTTGGAAATGGACCATCACCGACTCTTGTAGTATATGCTTTGACCACCCCGATAATATCTCCTATAGCTGATGGTGGTAATCCAAGACCTGTACAAACACCTCCAATACTACAATTTGACGAAGTCACATATGGATATGTGCCTATAATACCATTAAAATTAAATTACATTAGTATTTTTCATAAATTACTAATTGATCTTTTATCATTACCGAAATCTATATCTAACATAGCTGCATTGGCGCCTTCTATTAAGATACGTTTTCCTTCTTTTAATGCAGAATGTAAATATCCCACAGTCTCTATAACTAATGGCCTTAACTCGTTTGCATAATATTCATATTTTTTTAACTCTTCTTCAGTATCGACTTGCAGAGATGGAAACATGCGTATATGTATGTCCACTAAGTTGTAAAACCTTAAAAAAATATTCAAATAATCGTTGAAATGTATTTTTTTTTTATATATAGAAAATTTGACTATTAATGAATAAAAAGTTCTAGAATACACTATTGGATCACACAATATATTGGTGTTTACAAATTGTAGGCTGAAATTATAATATAGGTCGAGTTGCCTGTGCGGTTTTTTAGAGACTGAGTTGAGTTGTTTTTTTTTTTTTTTAATTTTAGAAACTATTCTCCTAAAAATACTATATTTTTAGATTTTAAATTTTTACTTAGATTAAGCCTTTGAATTTTTAAGTAAATAAGATTTATTTTACCTTTTTTTTTTTTTTTTTTTTTTTTTGTGCATGCTCATTTCTCAATATTATTATCTAATAATTATTTTTTATTTTTTTCACTTTACATTGATATCCATTTTTTTCTGTTGAAAGTATTCAAAATTGTTTCAATGTCTAACTATAATTAAAGTAGAACTCAACTTGGTCTTAAAAAAACACGCGTAAAACTCAGTTAATGACCAACATCGCTGTTTTTTTTTACCATTAATTCGAATGCAATCATAGGTTATATATTTTATGATAACGAAAAAAATAAATAAACCAACTTTTCTTTGAAAGAGTTGAAATCTCCAAGTAAATCAGCTAGTCGAAGACCATTTCTATTCGCTTTAGACGCATATGTTGGACCAATTCCTTTCTTCGTTGTTCCTAAAGATTTTTTACCCTTTTCCATTTCTTGAAGACCATCTACTTGCTATAATTAGATAAGAAAACACACTTAATATAAGGCAAAAATATGCAATAGTTTAAATGTATTTTATGTATATGATGAAAGGTAAGTTTAGTAAGCAAAATAAATATTTTTTACAATATAATTTAAGCTATATCAGTTGTATTTTTTTACTATTCCAAAGTGAATATTTCACTAATTTGTTTGGTTATGAACTAAAACATCTCTAAGAATTAAAATGTTTAAATTAGTCAGGGAATTATTAAGCGGACACTAAATAGATTGGAAAGCTTGGAAAGTTCTAGTGTTTAAAGGTTTAGATAAGTACGAAATTTTTAGTTTAGAAAAATATAATAAAATATAATACTATATTATATTATACACTTGATATATTAAGAATGTGTATTCATACCTGATGGAAATCAAACACAAGATGTGCACGATCAGAAATCAACAATCGTTTTTTCCAATCCAAAAGACCTTTCATTTCGTTTTTCTTGCATTCGTCAAATAAACCGGGGAGATGAATAACAACTCCATTACCTGTTATTTTAAACACGAAAAATACTTATTATTTTAAGACCAATAAATAGTTTTATCTTAACTATATTGTAAATTAATGTAAAATATTTAAGTGAGAACTTTATTGAAATTAATATAGGGACCTAGGTATTTAAAATATATAGGTACAAATTATTAAAACTTAGTAAGTAAACTATTATTATCAAATATTATGTAGATTTAACAGATTTCACAGATTTTCACATATATAACCTAATAAAGCAAATTTTACTTGTACAACCATGTTAGAAATAATAATATAATTTTTTAATATTTCAATATTGAATCAAACGTTTTATATAATAATGGTTAAAAATTATTTTACTATTACTTATTAGTTAGGTACTACCTATCATGTTTGATATAATCGACAAAAGTTAGAATATTTTTAAGTATCTGAATTATTGAAATAATAAGTACCAAATCTATCAAATTTGGTATATCTACCTACCTATGACACAAAAGTTTAGAAAACAAAGATTTCTTACCAATAATAGATTTGCAATTGGGATTGATGATTCCACTAGGCAGTAAGTGAAAATCAAATTCTTTTTTGTCAACAACGACTGTGTGGCCAGCATTGTTTCCACCCTAAAATAAAATTGAATAGGAATGTTAAATAGTTTTCAAATTTTATAGCTTGACCCAACAATTATGTAGGTGGTAGATGGGCATGCAAGTTAAATTAAATTAAACACATTCCATATGGAATTGAGTGTGTGCACCACTATACTATTTTACTTATTGCATACAATTAATTATTGAACAAAAAGTGTTTAAATTATCATTTAATAAATTAGATACTAGATTCTACATACGTAGCCTATTATTCGAAACTATCAAATTACATTTATATTTTCTTTACACGGGTACTTGAATTCAACTTGAAGACATATAGGACCGAAAATAAAAACTATAACCTGTGGTTAATAAGTACAAAAGTTAAATGGTAGGTACCTAGAAAATTCATAATCAGTACACAATATTGGCATATTGTGAATAGGCGCAAAGTTAATTATTTTGTATTCAACTCTAAAACTTTAATGGTTATTGTGTCCGTTTGAAGGAAAACACAATAAGTACTCATTGCCATAATAAAATGTCCCAGCCAAAAAGACGGGCGAAAAAAATACCAATTTACCATGACATACAAGTACTTACATTTCGTATACTACACAAGACAGGGGGGGGAATTTATAAAAATAACACTAAGGTTCATGTTTGTGGCCGCATAACAACGTCACGACGGTGCGAAAAATATTATTCGAAAATGAATTCAGGCCAAAATATAATTACAAAAAATAAATTCGAAATTGTGATTTTGGCACACGGGCGCGGCGACTAGGTGGGCGTTTGTATTCAAAATAATTTTATGACGCGAGCTGGCCGTGTGTCTCAATGATAATGGACTTTTTTAAAAAAAAAACGTACGAAGGTGACGGAAGACGGCATGGTTAGGAAAAAAAAAATCAAAGAGTAAAATGGAAGACAGCCGCGCATCGGCATCGGCAACCTTGACAGTTATTATTATTGGTGTCGGAAGGTGCCGTCAAAACGTCACGCGGCCGCCGTTCGTATGGACAAGCGTTCAGTTCAGACAACAAAATGCGATATTAACTCGTCCGTACCTACCTGTGAAGTATCCATTAAACGGGTACGCAGACATTTTATAATATTATTGATTATGAATAGACATGAATACCTGACACCGGCACACGAGGTCCGCGTAGGTGGCCAGCATGTCCACTACTTTGCCTTTTCCCTCGTCGCCCCACTGGGCGCCCAGTACTACGGTCACCTTGTTGCTGTTCGTAGGCGCCGCAGACATCATCCCTCGAGGCCGGGTCCCGGCTACGTCGCCGTTGACAGAAGCCATGACAATGGTAGTGGACGCGTCGTCGGACGGCAAAAGACTGTGGCCGGTGGCTACGTCGTTCGGGCGGCTGAACGACAGCGGAAAAACCGCGGTTTTTTTTTTTTTATTTTCTTCTGCGCGAAACGACGCGCGCTGCTCACGCACTCTCACGCGGACCGCGTCCCGTAACAACGGCAACGATTATTGCCGTATGTTCCGTGCAGGCGGATGCTCGTAACACGGTCACACAGGGGGGCGGTCGGTCGGCGGGCGGCGAGAGCGGAGTGTAAAAATGCGTCGACGCCGGGAACGATGCCGTAATGAACGACGTCGGGGCGGCCGGCGCGCGCCGAATTAACGGCCCGAGCACGGTAGCCCGCGCGCGCGGAAACGAACGCTCCCAGCCGACCGTCCGGTTGGCCGGGCGGCGCGGCGTACAGATACGGAACGCTCGTGGTCCGTCGACGCCCGTACGATATCTGACGATTAGACGGTGTGTATAATAGTCGTACAACGTCACTACACCAATGTTTTCCAACCACTTGTAATATTATTGAGGCCCGTTTCCACAGCGCGAACGAATGGCCTTCCGAATATTGTATCGATAGAATGTAAGGTATCATTACACCGATAGAAAAAAAAAAAAAATATGTATATTCGGAACATTTTTGTCGTGGAAAACATTTTGTTCAGGGCCGATTACAATGAATCGTGTTCAGAATATTTTGTCTCGATCAAGGTAGAAATGACGCGCATGCGTATATTATCCGAAATCGGTCGGAGATTTCGCTTATCATTTAAAAAACCATTATCAATATCGTAGCTGTTATTGTTATTTCAAATTTATACGGATTTTGTACGTTGTTTGTATGCCAATTATTCCCAATCTATCACCGTGGTTTTTTACGATTTGTTTTTTAATCGTTTTCTTATATTGTATAGGTAATTTCTTGCTCTCTCAAGTCGAATTTCATTTTGAACATGGCTCAAGTAGGTAGCAGTTAAGCAATGCAAGTAGATCCATAATATTATTAATAATAATAATAATAAGTTTCGATAATGCATGTTTCGAACAGTGTTCTGCGCAACATTGTTGCAGCGGTTATGTAGGAACGATTGGGAACCACTGGGCCACGGTATTGTATCAATATTGACGAACGAAAAACTACGCCGCGCGGTCGGCAGGAACTCCTTGGTCCTTGGTCTCACTGAACTTTATATTATGACATTTATTCGGTGATCGTGTAGAGTTCAAATGAGTCCTGCAATATAATATTATACTCTATAATATGGTCCTTCTGTGCAAACGTTTAAATGTTGACGTAATAATAATATCGTATCGTATCACGATGATTGTTATTTGTTATTATATGGCACGGGCGAAGGCGTACGAGGGCCTGTCAGTGACGTCCGCATACAGACCGTTCGTAGCGTCAACGGTTTACTTAAAATTCGTCGGCTCAAATTCGGTGACGCGCGACATCGGTTAGGTTTGTTATCGAAAAAAAAATCAAAGGTCCTTTCAAGATTCATTGGTCCCGGAAAACAAAACGGGTTTTTTGCCAAAGTAACTGTACATCACTTCGGATATTTTATACTACGATCTAACGTATCGTGTTAGAACATACCTATTATAGGTACTTACACTTATCACTCATGCCGTTTAGACCGAAAAATAATTGGAAACAAATTACAAAAAAGAACGGACATACTTCGCACGCGGGTGAAGCCACTATTGTAGGTGGGAAGTTGGAAAAGTAGGATAAAGACGAGAATTTAATGTATTAAATTCTATAAGCAACGATAAACCATTGCTAACGAATAAACGATTCTGAACGAAGTTCAATTGATGATGTTGCTTTGTCAACAATATATATATATGTCATATTATGGTAAAATAATAACATATGCATTAAACATTTTAAATATTTATTTAACAATGTACCTATTTTCCTGTTCTTCTATTTTTTTTCGGTTTTTCCAATATACTGAAAAAACTCCTGAGCAAATTAAGAAATGACCTCTCTAAAGTATCTCTCTAGTCAAATTTCCTTTCAGAAAAGTGCTACACTTGTAAATCTGAGCAATATTTCTGGTAGAAAAGTTGTTCACAGATTAAAAAAAATTAAAAACATCATTGTAAAACTATAAGCTCTACTCACAATCTAAAATACGGATGATTCATTTAACACAGAATTGACAGGAAAAAGCATTTATTTTTTTTTCATATTTGAGAATATTTTAGGGATTAGAGAATATTTAGTTAATTTATCATATTTTGGAATACTTTGTTAATTGCTAAAAACAAAAAATACTAATTTATTGTAATTTTAAATTATCATTAATATCAATTTTAACTTTGATTTACCTGAAAAAAATATTTTTCTAATCATTTAATAACCATTATATGTATATATAAATTTTAATTTTATTATTTTGGTAAAGTGAAAAATAAAAAAAATATATACATATTATAATGTATATGTACATTAATTATACTTGCATGTTTTTCTAATTTTTAAGAATTTCATTAGAGAATATTTGTAGTTTTGTTTATAAGAATATTAGCATCAGCATAATAGTTTAGGAAATTTTTTAAATCTATTAAGTATACCTATATATTTTTGTACAAAATCCTTGCTACAATTATAATTTAAAATATGTATTTATTAAATGATTTTATAGAAAAGAAAAAAAATGTTTATAACATTGCCAGCGGCCACCTTTCACCCATATTTTATCTTTATTTGATAATTTTACTGTAATTATAATAAATTATTATCATATAACTCATATTATAATTACACTAAATATATATATATAAATATAATCATGATTATTTTTTGAATTGAATAAAAAATGCCTAAAAGAATTCAAAATTTTAAACTAAGATTTTAAATACATTTTTGCCTTTGAATTATAAAAATCCTGATTTTGCCCACCGCGTACCCTACCAAACTTACTCTATATATATATAGGTACTATAATATGGGTTACCCGAGTCAGTGGCGTATCCAGAATTTTTTTTTTTAGACGGGGGGGGGGAAGTAGATTGAAAAAATATAACAAATAAAATTGTTTTGAATTTTGTGTATATTATAATCATATATTAAACATTTTATTACTATTTTACAGCGCTAATTACATAAAAGTTGAAATATTTATCTTTTTTGAAAATTATAAATGCATATTCATTTTTCGTTTTGATGTTTTAGCAAGTTCATCTATAACATCAACCACGTTTATATCGCGATGAATATACTTTAGTAAGGCTAAACCATTTAAACGTATTTGTCCCAAAGAATTTCTGAAATGTGTTTTCAAACGATGGATTAGATTGACGTGGCAAACTTATAGTAATATAACATTTTTCACAGACAGTTATTACGGATAAAAATAATAGTTGAAACTCTATATCAACATTTTATCTAATATCCTGAATATTATTTTGAACATTAGCAGCTTCTAATGTAGTTTCTAATGCAGATTTACTGTTTGAAGATATCGGCTAAGTGGACAACTTATGAAATTATTTTCACTAAAATAGATAAAGCTGTTTGAAATTGTAATTGTTTTATCGCAATAAGAAGATGACTTGCAGAACTAGAAGTGTCAGAATCTTTCCAAAGTGTAATTTTATCTAATGTATATAAAATGGCTGGTTGAAGTTTTTCAAATAATATAACTGGATCATGACAATCGGTCCATTGAGTTGCACACAGATTTTTTAGTTTAAAACGATTAGTCTTAGTCTGTGGTTATACTTCTTCTCTTGACAATAACAAAATACTTTGTCTTTTTGGATAACCGAAAGCGATAACCGATAACCAGCTACCTATTATTATAATATACACACTACACTGGAATCACCAGTTTATTTAGTTACCCATGGTGCACCACGAGGAGGTGATCTGGCTAACACCCTACAAATGTTTGTTTATTTAGTATTTTGTAAAACTAATAATAAAACGTTATTTAAATTTTAATTACAATTAGTCCCATCTATGCAATAAAAATGTTTTTCCCAGTTATGTACGCAGATATATACGCGATAGTATTTTTAGGCGTACTTAAACAGCGATACAGACTTATTATTGCAGACAGAGCTTAAGCGTAATTTTCGATTATTTTGTAAAAATTAATAAATTAATTATTTATCAACTTAAAGAATCGGAACTATAGGCTTAAAACCTGCTCTGTACTCTAAATCAGCGGTTTACAACCATTTATTACAACCATTATATTCACGTACCATTTATATATTTCGAAATAGTTCCCGTATTAGTTGACAACTATACTAATTTTTTCTTTTTTTTTTTTTAATTTACCAACAAATAAAATGAGTATGCTATTCTACATATTTGGATTTTCTTATTGAATCTACATAATTATAAACATTTAATACACGAAAGTAAAATTAATGTAGGTAGGTATAGTGCATACAGTCATAATTGCAAATTAATCTATACAAATTTTTCAATTTATTTTGGTTTTTGTTATGAACATATTATTATATGTGTATTGCGATTTAAGAACGATGGTGAAGTTAGAATTAAGCTGATTGACTTAATTTGGAAATTATAGCTTTTTGAAGTTTTGATATTATGCGGATATCATAGTATGTGTTAGGTATGTTAAATAACTCAGTATTGTCAATTTTACAATACATCTATCGTAGTCTAGTGTTATAGTACGTATCTGTTGTCATCCCAGAGATCGCAAGTTTATCAAACTTGAGTTCTGCAAAAAATGTTTTGCAAAACCACGCCGAGTAAGTAACGAAGAAAAAATATATACATTTTGGGTGCATCTATAGACTCAAGCTGTCGTAATACGACATATATATATATATATATATATATATATATATATTGTTAACAAATTAATACTATTAACCGAGCTCCGCTCAGAATTGTTTTTCGTTAGTAACGATTCATCTTTGCTCACAGATATACATTAAATTTCCCCTATACCCTACGTTCCAAACGTATACTACAGTGGTCCACCTACCGAACGAAGTA